TAGATGAAAGAAGTTATCTAGAAAAGTCCTATGCCAGTTAAATCAAAAACATTCTCGCTAAAAAGAAAATTAATCGTTTCTGTGGAACTTGGTAAACTAAAGCGCCATAAAGAAAATCGACGTTACACTATAATTCAGTAAGAGTAGCGCCATCTATCGAATAAGGTTTAAATGTGTTAAACTATGTTTTTTCCCTTTCTCCTAAACTAATGCAGAAACAGCAATAAAATTAATTGGTTGATGCAAAAAATATAACGCTATCTCACAAACTAATATAATCAGTTTCGACCTAGCCATTATTCGCAAATAAAACAAGGAAAGAAATTAAGCTAAGAAATTAATTTATTAAAAAAATAACATCTCAAGATTAGTAGTTTTTAAGCCTACGCAGTGTTTGATTTCAAATTATTTTAAAACAAATGTAAGCATTTTGTTTTATTTACGCATTCTAACACGTTAAAACTAATTAAACAACTTAAAAAGTTGCTTACTTTTAAGAATAAGCCGCGTTTGTTTTCACATGTAGTCTAATAAAGCCAAATTTGCTTTATTTACGTAATTATATCAGATTTCGACCGATAAAACAATTTTATTTAAAGGAAACAAAATTGCTTGGTTTAAAAAATACGCCATGTTTTTTTTCATATATAATCTAATAAAATTAATTTTCGTTATTTGCGTATTCTAACTGGATCGAACTTGTGAAATTATATTTCATGTAGATATACGAATTACATATTCTAAATTGGAAGTAGTTTCAATTCTGATTATTCTTCACTTATTTCCTTCTTATTTCTCGTCCTTATGTTTGCGTCAGATACAGTTTCTAGCAATGGTTGGTTTTACCAACAAATTATGCGTTGAACTCAAAGTATTTTGCGATATTTTTTTAAACATATTTTTTAGCTGCTTAAGTGTTAAAAAAGCTAAAATATTTTTTGTCAAGTTAAACTCTGAACATAATTTGGAGGGAAAATAAAAGTTATGCTACAGTTTCGAGAATGTCGTACTTTAACTTAGAATCTAATTTAATCAATTTTAGTTTAATTTAAGATTATTTTAATTAATGTGCACTTTATGTTAAGTTCGTTATTTGATATTATTAATTTATTTTATTAACAGAATAAGTATTTTTTTCTATATCACGAATCAAAACAACGATTACTGCCATACAATAGTGAAAGGTCGTTTCGATACTTGAGCCGCACTATTTTAACTACTTTGTATACGGGGACCGTTTGAATATTACGTAGGCATATTTGTGGGTGAGATTTTGGATTCCCTCTTTCCCCTTGTCAGGGAAAAAAAAGTCAAATCACAATCCCCTTTCAGGTTTGCGTAAAAAAGTACTAAAAAAACCCCTTTGGTTTTCGCTTTGTTGTTGTAGTTAATTTACGTCGCACTAGAGCTGCACAATGGGCTATTTTCGACGGTCTGNGCATCGGAACGTAAGAGAAAGTCCTTGCGTGTATCGCTATATCGCTATATCGTTATATCGTCTTCTTCACTCGACCGCTTAAATCAGATTTCTGATGCATCGCTTGGAATGAAAGTTGCTGTATCGGTTTGCCGATATAGGCGTTAAATCGATATGTCGCGATATATCGATTTATAGCCCAGTCCTAGTCATCACACTTTCGATCCTCTGCAGAGGGGATTGCACCCTCGCTTCGGTTGCCCAACGACCTGCACGCGAAGTCAAGCACTTTACGGTAGAACAGTTTAACGAGGACCAATAACGCACACCCTCGGTCCCTACGCAGACTGATCCCTGTTGTCACCCACCCGCACACTGACCGCAGCCAGTAATGCTCGACTTCGGCGGTCTGCTGGGATTCGCTTTAATTTGAACTTCCACTGTAGTAATCTAATTTTGGGATTAAATTCAAATAAACGATCTAACTTTACATAAAACAAAATTTACGCTTTGATTCTTTTTATAGAACTTTCAATAGAATTTTTCTTTAGGAGTATTTTGTGTTTTTCTTTCATGTTCAAAACTTTTGACTTCTAAAATTCTTCGAAAAAAATTCGTTTTCCCCAAAATCGACCAAATTATCCACGAGCAATTTTTTTGTTATAATTTTTATTTTACTTTTTATGAAAGATTTGAAAATAAGGGGATTTTGATATCTTACGTAAACATTGCTATTGTCCACTTGTCAAAAAAAAAAATAAATAAATAATAAGTAGATCACAACCCCCCCCCCCCTCGGTCAGGTGCTGATGTCACATTTGAAAAACTCCACATTTTTAAATATCGTTAGCTGAAATAGTTTTCAATTTCAAGGACAGTTCATATACTTTTCTAAATTATCCCAACTGATAATTTTTATATTAAAAAAATTACGAGTAGCTTTTTTTGCGCACAGCTAAACCTATCACACGGACGGTATCTTTTTTCAACTAGTCAAACAACGGTTTCACTGTATACAAATGACGTTAACCCACCTTCTTGTAATTTTCAACATAAGTAGCGCCATCTATTGATTAATGGCTGAAGACTGGGAAGACTATTAACAAATAAACTGATGGATATTTACTCTATTTGACAGAATCTTTTATACATGTGCAATAAAACAAGACCTTCACCGAATCACAATTTTGAGATATAAAGAGTGAGTTAGATTTTCTAATGACAAAATCTAATGTTGTGACAAAATTAATCCAGAACAATTCTGCCACCAACAGTTTTTAATAGGTAGTTAGTAACATACAATTACCTGTTTGTAGCTTTTCGATAAGTATCTGTTTTTAATCGATTTTCATAATTTTAACTTGCAATAAAATTAGATTTTAAACAATCCAAAAGCTAAGAAACGTGTAGTTTAAAATTACTTACTCAACACTACAAATTGCCTCATTTTATTGCGTTAAAGTTTTGATAAAAAAATTTATAAAAGTTCAAAAAATCATTAATCTTATAAGGAAACACCGTTATTTTTTGAAATTTTTTGTTATGTATTGTGCTGTCTAATAACTACTATATTACCAAATGTTGGTTAAGTACAAAATATTAAGGCAACACAAGTAAAAAATCAACTTAAAATCAAAGATAAGCCCTTCATTATTTGATTTAGATACAATTGTTCTAAGTACTTAGCTTTTCTAACAAGTATTTCTTTTACAGATGCTTAGAAACACACTTAAAAAGTTTAAAATTGTTATAATTAAATTTTTTTTCAGAACACAATTCAAAAGTGGAAATTCTTTAAGGTACTTTTTTTATTGGACATTGCAGTACCAAGAAAAGTACGACTTTCACTGAAGTTAAAATTTTTGCTCTAAGATTCCTCTACAAATATATCAAGTAGTAAAAGTGAATAAAAGTATGAAAATTAATCACAAGTTTGATGCAATTTTGTATAAGAATTTTAAATTCTAAACGATACATTTGTTGATAGAGAAATTTTTTTTATTTTAAATTGATTGTCACTTTTTTTAACGAAAAATGAATATAGTTCGCAATTTCATTTAAAAATCATATTAACGCATTTAATACCACTCTAGTTTTACATGGCTTGCACATCTGGCCACAATGTAAATAACTACAAACTAAATTTTCAAATATTATTCAGATTTTGCTAGTTTTTTAAAAGGTTTGACATGAGATATCTGAAAAAAGTGGTGAATTATATAAACCTACGAATTGTTTAGAAATAGTGGTGGATGAAAATCTGCTAAATTGAATTTAGTAAACCAAGAATCACAATTAATAAACTACCACTTGAAAATATTTATTCGCTGTCAGGAGCAAGTTGGCTTCTCTGTGTATATAAATAAAACTATTTTTGTGTGCTCTATATTGTATTAATTTCTTCAAACCATTTTAGTAACGATATAAAAAAATTAAACATTTACTCGAATTATGCGTTTCTAATAATCTTTGCTTCGTCGGTCACCACTGACCCCCGTGGCGCTACGAATAAACTCAGTGCTGGTCACCGGTGACCCCCAGTGCATTCAACGTGCTAATATAAATGGAGATAAAATTAGCAAATTTACAAAAAAGGTTACAGCAACTTTTGAAAATCTTAATTTTTTTTTAAACATGTAAGAGAAAAGAAAGCTACGTAAGTAAAAAATATTCAAAAGTGCGAGAATATTTAAAAAAAAACCAAATTAATTTTCCTCTTTATTTTTGCCTAAACATTAAATTACATAATGAGGATTAAAAAATTAAAAAATCGAAATTTTCAAATACCTGTAGGTAAAAAATATTTATTATGCATAAAATTGTTTTTAAAAATGCTAAGAGTCCATGAAAGGCTTAAAAATAACCGAATATTAAAATGCTAATTATAAGCAAGATTTAAGAAAAAAAAAAGCTGAAAATTTATAAAAGCACTAAAGAATAATTGTGCAGTTAATTTCAATATTCGATTTTATGCTCTCAAACTAAAAAAAAAAAGTGCCATATTTTATGATTTTAGAACATAATGAAGCCTGTAATTGAAAATGCGGCAAAAATATAAAATTTAATCGAAGTCGCTGTTTAGAAGAGAATTTCGTTCATTCAAAATCTTTAAATACTCATTTGAAAATTTTATTTCAAAGATAAAGAAAAAAAATCGAATATTTTATTTTCAAGATTGGCACTATTTAGTAAAAATGGTCTTGCTATTGTCTACAAATTTGCTTAAAAATGTTTCAAGAATTCAAAGTTGGATAAAATAAAAAAAACTTTAAATTACAAAGAATATAGAATTAGCAGCAATATCAATTTCCTAGCAAATCTGTTGTTGACGTATGCCATTAAGGCAGAGGGGGGGTGCGATTGTTCTTGTTTTCCAGTGGCGCCATCTATGGCCCAGAATTAACGGGAAATATGATAAACGCATATAATATATAATTATAATTTAATATCTTAACTAAAACTGAAGTTTTTGTTTCGCAGAAAATATTCAAAGAATAATTTTTTATTTCAGTGTGGCACTATCTTCAACAAGATGTATCACCTATATCTTTGTTTAAAACTGGCGAAATTATGCAAGCATACATAAAATCAAAAAGGTTTATTACATTTATTAAGAATATAAAAATAACAATGTTGTAAAGCGAAAATATATTCGCCGCATCTAAGACAATGTCTGATTATCATTAAAAACTGAACTAAACGACATCTTTCCAATAAATATCGTCCTTCTCCATATAACTGGAATATGTATTTAAATCTTCACGTTCATAGCCAAGCAATTTAAATCTTTTGCACCATTTCAGAACCTTCAAGAAACAGCAACAACATTCAGTTCGTATTCCATCTATTATCATTAGAATCAGGAACTAATTGAAGAAAAAGTTTAATATTAATAAATTTGCATTTCCAAGCATTCTAATACAAATTACTAATTTAGTCCTTCCAACCTGTAATATATTTAGGGAAGAACACTATTTTATATCCAGCAATGAACAGCCCACCATTTTTTGCAGCCTTGGAACAATTTGATCTTCTTAGAGAACTTCTAGTGGAATAAACCTTCGCCTTTCATGCAGAGGAAAAATTACAGAAAAACACCACTTTTAGCCGAATGGAGAGGGAATTCTGGAAAAGGAGGAACGAAGGGGAAATTACCTTAGTAGTAGAACAGATCAGGGGTTAGAGTCCCCTCACCATCGGGCTAACCGTAGGAGATTTTCATGGTTTTCAATTCCATGCAACGCAAATGTGGGTTAGTTCCATCAAAAAGTCCTCCGGGAAAGTTAGTTTGTTTCTGTCTTGATCCAGGAGTTCTCTTGTCTTCTGGAATGGGGACCAAATTACAAGGCTACGGAGTTAATCATTTATAGTCGTAAACTCATAATTGGGTATGTTGTTCAGCAATACTTATAAAAAAATTAATAATGGTTATAAAATAATGCAAAATAATGTATTAAATAATAGTGAAATGTATGCATGTAGCTGAAAATAAAATAAGTAGAAATATTTTTATATAAAAATTAAAACACAGTTATAAATGCTGAAAACCATTACTAGGGAAGCAGATTTTTTTTATCAAATTTGGTAATCTTTTTTCCATCTGAAAAGCGTGATGAGAGATAATTAAGTTTTTTAAATGCTTGATAATTTCTTAATTTATTTGTTTTTTCATAATTTATTGTTAATAGAAAAATGATATTTAATAAAAAAATATTCCATTTCTTTTTCATTGGCATTTTACTTTAAATAATTTCATAAGCGAGACTAATTAATTATAAATAATCGAGTATTGATTGGATCAAACTATAATTAAAGGTTTCAAAGGTCACTGGTAAAAGCAACTGCCCTTAATCCCGGAACCCCTTTGACTTTTCCACGGAACACTAGGGTTCTGAGGAACACCATTTGTGAACCACTGATCTAGGTAGTTTGCAGATTACCTACGCAATTACTTATATGTTAAATTAATTTGTGTTTTGATATTTTTTGTATTTAGCAAACTTTTGATGATATATTGTAGTTACAGTACAATACGCTTTAAAAAAGGGTAGGAAATAAAGGGATAGCTGTAATTAGATTAGGAGAAATAGCTCTTTATACTTTTTAAAACTGCAGTGAATTTTTTCTCAAAACCTTAAAGCATTAAAGTGATGCAATTTGAAGTTTTGAGTAAGTAATTTAAAACTACACGTTTCTTAGCTGTTAGATTTTTCTCAAATCGAATTTCATTACAGTTTAAACTGAGGGAAACCGATTTGAATGTCGCTAAAAAATTCTCTTGGCGTTAATTGCATGAAAGCAAAAGGTACTTGTCAAAAATCTAAAGACAGGCAACAGTATACTATTTAATTATTTATTGAAAACTGTTCACAGAATTTTATTGGTGTAATTTTGTCAGAAAAAATAAATAGAGAATCTAAAACCTTGCTTCATATTTCATATTGTTATTGTGTGGCAACCTTGTATTTTACATATATTGAAAAATACCGAACAGAGAATATCCACCATAAATTTATTTAAGCGAAGGGAATCAAAAGCATCTTAGAAATTTCACTCTCAGTGTTGTCATTTTCACACTGTTTAGTTTGGTTGGGAGGCCAGCCGGACTATGTAGGGATCAGGGAGGTTCTGGGTTAGAGTCCCGGACAAGGCATGGGTGTTCTTTCATTCTTTGTACTATCTGTCCTTACTGTGAGAGCAACATTGGCCCACCTAATATGGTGAACCTGAAAGAGTAGCCAACAAATCTGCCATCATACTCCTGAATTGTCGAATGTCAACACAGGTGGCATTGGAAAAAAAAAGACCGGTTAGGAGAGAAAGGGCCTTATAACAGAAAAATAGTGTTGCCATGCCAATAAGAAAGGGAAATTAAAGAATATCTTTTCAAGTCTAGTTACCCAGAAACGATACTAAATGAGAAAGTGTTGAAGAAAGAGACTAAGAAATTTTGATGCAAGTGGAAGCATATTATCTTTAAATTTTTCTAGTACATTAGTATAGTGCTAAGTTGAGCCATATTATTATGCTTCTTAAATTTTACAACCTGATACTGTAGTTCAAGTAGGATGGAAACTTGGCTCAAAAGTTTGTACCATATTTAGTTTGCAGCAGATTTGCACCGTGTTATCTTTCAAGATACCAATATTAGGGTTAAGAATTAATCCAATGTTTCTAAGAACACTTTAGATAAGGAAATAATTGTTCCAAACTAAAAAGATTCTCTTCCACTCGAAAATTAGTACTGGCATAACAACCGTAAAGAGAAAAAAAGTACGAATTGAATTTAAAGGTTTTTTATTTTATAAGTCTCATGTTGAATTGATGAGACAATTTCGCGGTTTTACTTATACTAAGTGCGTATGTTTTCAAGAAACAGCGCATGTGCTGTAAATCTGTTTACATAGAAGTTGCGAAATCTCTGAACAAAATTTTTAGGAATCAGCAATGCTTCTGGATTCAGAAAATGGCATAAGTTACAAAAATTGATAAATTGAGATATCGGGCAGGGAAAGACGCCAACTATTTCGAAAAAAAAAATCATGTGTTAAACAATGCTTCGTTTTTATTAAAAACTGGATAAATTTGTTAGATATGTTTTGAGCGAAAATCTAAATTGACAAAGATGCGAGTAAGGTGAAACTGGGTACCTTGATTTTGGTGAAATTAGTTTATTTTCTAGTAAAAAAATTCAGAAATACATTTTTAAAGTCAAGAAAGACCTACCAGATGGTGTGCTGTTTTTTGATTAATTTACAGCATGGGTGTAGATAAGTTTGTTTTACTAAGTCAGCTCTCTAATGTTCTTTTGTTTTTAAATTAACCTTATTTATTGGTCATTACAGCTAATTTTTTTGTTGTCTAGCTTATTATACATTTGCTAAATATTCATACATTCACGAACAATAAGAAATCAGCCCTCTAAGTAGCAATGTTCTGTTTCGAGGACCTTTTGGGGTAAGATCAAGTACTACCAGGCTTTGGCCCAGAGCTTGATGCGAGTATACTGGATCTACGAAAGCTGCAGCTCTGAGGAGGAGTAAGATAACATCCAAGGCTGAATAAAGGTTTCTTGGTCCAGAGGACTAAATTAATTGCGGTCTTTTTCAAAGCCCAAAAACCTTTTCATATTTTGTAGATTTTTTGAAGACTATACAAAATTGAGTTTTCTTTATAATCCGTGATAATTGTCCCCCTCCCTCCTAGAGTACGGCTTTGATTGCATTACATGTAAATTACATGTATAATTTTCTTGAATTGTCACAATAGAAATGCCTGCTACGTTTTCACTGAAATGATAATATTTCTAAATTTCCCATGGAGTTAACATGCGTACCCGACCTTGCCCCACTAGGAGAACTCTATTAACTTCTATAAAACAATTTATATAAATAAAAAAAACGTATGATATATCTATCAAGTTTCAAGAATGACATATCGAACACAACTAACCAATGAATATCTTGATTAAATCAGGTAGTTTCTAGGTTGAACAATTTAGTTTTAACAGGTCTTCGAATCTTAGCTATCGTTCTTACCCCCTTCTCCCCATGTTCTCGAAAACAAATAATTTAAAACTATGGAGCATTTACTGGGTGGCCTAAATTAAACTCGCAATATTCAAAAACTTATAGAAAAAAATTCTTGCAGCATATTCATGTGACATGATAAACTTCTTTATTTTAAAACTCCTAGTTTTAGTTCGAAAGTTTTCCGAAAGATGGCGCTTACATTTTTCTTTGAAGCATACAAATTTCGTCCTACGATTGGTTACGGTATGTGATTGTGGCTGAAGATCGACATTTCAAGAAACACGGCAATGAAATAAAATTAGCACTGTATTTAGCACAAGAAAGATACAATTTTTTATTCCAAGCGCTGCATTTGCTATGAAGCCTGATCTATATTATTAAAGATAACACGACTGCGGCATGTGATTGTGGCTAAAGATCGACATTTCAAGAAACATGGCAATGAAATAAAATTAGCACTGTATTTACCATAAGAAAGATAACATTTTTTATTCCAAGCGCTGTATCTGCTATGAAACCTGATCTATATTATTCATGATAACAAGAGTAAACGAATTCATTACCAACATTTAAGTAAGAACATAGGAGAAAAATGGAATAATATAAACTTACCACTGCAAAAGTGAGAAAACTGAAAAAAGTGCCAGACAAGATTGCGAATTTCAGCCAAAAATGAGGCAGTCCTGTTGAAGAGGCAATTAAAGCCAGGCTAAAGCTGACAAGTCCAAAAATCGCAGGAACCATCATCAACGTATTAGAACACTTTCTATCAAGAAAAGTTAAATGTACCTGTTTAAAAGAAAATAATTTTAATTCTATAAATTACGTTAAATTTTTTTCATACCTAAAAAATCAAGAATAGTTTTTAAATTTTGTCCCCTGAAGAAATATATATTTGGAATTTCACACTGAATCAGTACTAGTTTAATAATTGTAAAACATGGTGCGTAGTGTTTTTATAAAGTGATTAAAGGTGCTCATTTTCGATTTTAGTTTTTTAAAAGCCCTTAAGGGTGCTTTTTTCATTGGGTGTTTTTAAAAAATGCTTAATTTTTCCTTTTTCAAAATGAGATTTTTCCTTTACTATGTTGATTTTCGCTTCGAATTATGCAAAAAGACAGTTCACATTGTTCTATTCAACGTTTTCGTAATTAATTTAACACCAATCTATTTCGGTGTGTAGTCAGTCCGCAGCGTATGAAAACGCCGTTTGTTTTACATGATTCAAAACTTCATGATTTTTGACAATTGTCAAAAAAAATGTCAAAAGTTTTTTTTTTCTTTTTTTTGACATGACTGTTATGAAGATAAAACCGTTGATTGTCAAAAACTTTCCAACCATGCCTAATTATGATATTTTTTAGAATGCTTAAAAATATTTTTTGAGTGCTTGAAAAATGCTTATTTCTTGTTGAATAATTTGGCTACGCACACTATAAAATAATTTCCTGCAAAAATAAGCTCAAAACAATAATTTAAAAATTAGTGTTAGTCCTAGTGTTTTCTGCGTTGAAGTTTCAACAGAGCCAATATCTCCATTTTTTTAAAATAAAACAAAGTTGGTTATAGATCCCAAAAAGATACAGTCTTTAAAAGCAGCACATATAAAAATCACACTTGACTTGGTATTACATAACATGTTTCTTCAACAATATGCAGGTTTATATTCAGTATTAGTTTCAAGCTTAAAAGTTTAATATTGCATTTCCTATTAAACAATTATTTTGGGTTTCACGTATTCTACTTATACCTTTAATCATTAATACTCAATCATTTTAGAGTTAGCACGATTTCGAGAGCAATTGGAATAAAGTAACCTGCTTCCTACATCGTACTACTTTCAGACCTTGGGGGAAAAAAATTTATTTTTAGTCCTTAGAGCGCAAATACTGCCAAAAAAATATACACAGTAGAACCCCGATTTTACATTGTCCGTTCCGCACGTTATTTTGTATTACCTGCATTATCTGCTAGTCCATGAAAATTGCCTATGCCGATAATGTTAAAATATCCCGGATTTTACGTTAACCTTTTTAAGAAAGTCCCGCAACGCCTTATACGTTTTTCTAATAAATCAAAATCATTTTTTTCTCTACAAAGTTCGCACAAACTTTTTCTGAGTTTTCTTTTCTTAAAAAAAACGGGACTTAATTAGCGTTTTTCCTGACATTCTATCTTATCGTCCTTTTTTCTGTCAGAGGGTTCCTCTTGAGTCAAAATCCGAATTGTGACGGGATAGCCAAGGCACGAGAAGGGTTGCTAAAGAAAGTATGCGTGCTTAAAATGTCAAATTTGCGAATGGAATTTTTTCAAGCAAACTTCAACCTTCGAATCTTTTAATTTTTCACTTATGTAAAAAGCGTTACACTAAACAATTGGTAAGGTAATCATTTTTCTAGATTTCGATGACCTTTAAGATATTTTTATACTTCCGGAATCACTGGATTTGTTGATTTTAACTGCGTTGGACAGTGTCTACCAAAATGCATTACAAAAGAGTTCAACAAAGCTTCTAGGGGATAAGTGCTTCTCGATAACGCGCATGTCGACTACAACTCACATCCCATTGCTTTTCAATTACTTCAGTATCTGATTTAATGCTTGCTCCTGATAATAGAGATGAAAACGATAAAAATGAGTAAAAAATGTCGAAAGATACACCCACAACTGATCTAGAGTTTGAAATCATTAGAACTCTAAAGCATTTGCGAAGCGTGGAGGTGGTGGGTTCGTATCCCACCGCAACCTTGGATTTATTCTCCGTGATGTCCTCTGATTAGTTCTATCTATCCAACTTGACAGAAGCTTATACGCCTGAATTGAGCACAAATGTATGCAATTTCAATAAAGCAATGTGCTTTGGTTTAGTTTTTGTTTTGCTAACGTTGCACTAGAGCTGCACTAAGAGCTTTTAAATGTGTCGTAATTTTATTTTATTATCTTATCTCCTTGTCATGCATACGTTTTATAATAGTTTATACTATCATAATATTTAGTTAAATCTTCCAAATTTTAGAATTTACTCATCTTAATCAGTTAATAAATATTAGAAGTGGTTTCAACAAGAAAATTTTGCGTGGTCTTGCCAAACAAAAGGAAAAAATAAACACCACGGATTTTTAAATTTTCAACTGAAAACTGCGTTTGATTACAGTTTTATATCAAATATTCTTAGAAAGTATAGATATTATAAAATATATATGGTAAAAATGAATTATGATTAGTCTTTGACACAACACAGGGCTCGAAAAACTGCCCGTCCGCCCATCCTCGGCGGTCAAAAATTCCCTGCGGACAACGAATTTCTCGAATCCGACGTCCGAGCGGACGGCCATTTTCCCGTAATGTTGCAATTATGAACATCTACCTAAATGGAAAACCTCTTTCAGATTTCTGTGCAGAAATCTCTGTAAATCATTGGCTTGATTGTGGAACTGGCAAAAATCATATTCGATTCATTTTAAAAACGCAGTGCCTTCGGATAAATTGACATTGCAGATAACTTGACCTTTGTCATTTAAATTATTTCATAAAAGAAAGAATTTATTTCATGAAAGAAATACTAGGTTTCTATTAATAACCTAGTATTTCTCTTATTACTGTATAATGTAATCCTTATTTGTAATCCAAGTAACTACTAATTCATTGTGCAATTTATATAAATGTTTGTAATAAATAAGAGAATATTATATTTTTATTCATTTAGAAGCGACGGGTTAGTTTCAAAGCAGGACGGATACATTGATGGACAAGCCGTCCTCGGGGACGGGTAAAATTTCTGAGTTTTTTCGAGCCCTGACACAACATTTTGGGAACTGTATATTGCTTCATTACATGCGTATATTTTCAAAATGTAATTCTTAGCGAAATTTATTAAGTTTTTGATTATTGAACGATAACTAAATTTTTTTGAAAAAGATATTTTAGAAACAAAAAATTGTATCAATAACCATTCTAATCATTAGCAATTAACTAAAAATTTCCCTATAACACTAAAATAATACACTGCTTTATTTTTCCAATAAACTACAATAAACTTGAACAATTTCAATAAAAGCATAGATATTTTATTTTTCCTAAAAGCTATTGTATTTATTTTTAACTTTGCTACATAGAACATTTACTTTACATAAAAAATTATTAGGTAATAAACAATTTCAACATAAATAGTATATTTTTTTACAGAAACTTAAAAGCTTACTCAATTTCTATCTTAGCATGGATAATACCAAAATCTTACCGTTGGTCTTTTTGGAGTACTGGTCAACATTGTGCTTGTTACGAATGTGTTAATTTGGATTATACTGGTTTCAAACTACTTTCACAGAGTCTGAATAACTTAGAACGAATGGTTTAAAACTGTTTATGTCTGCCGAATTTTAATTTGTGACCCGTAAGAGTATGGCAGGGGGGAGGATAAAGTCCCGATTGCGTAAGAAAATGCCACGGTTTTGTACTCCTAAGTCACTAAAGAGTACCAGACCTATCCTTCAAATGGGCACCTGAGGACGCTTATGGGGCTTAAGAGCACCATATCGGGTCATGTAAATTTGTTGTAATTTTCAATCATTTTTCGCTTTTTTTTTCTACACCATTTAGAAGGCTTTTTTTTGTTTGATTAGCTTATTCAGACTACGTGTTTTAATCATCGTTGAACAACCATACCATTATTTGGATTATGACAAAGGGTCAATTCTATGACATTGTAATTTTGAACCCAACCCAAAAGATAAAGAAGCTCCTGGATCTAGCTAACCTTCGTGAAGGATTTTTTGGTGGATCTAATCAGCATTAGCGTCACATGGAGAAAAAAACTACAAAGATCTCACACATTTATCCAAATGGCAAGAGAACTTTTTCCCATGATCCGTCTACCTCTAAAGATATTTTACGTTGGTACATTGGTTGGTAGGAACCGGGAGTAGGTTCCGAATCGACCAGCCATAACTAGGATTTGTACCTGGATCTCCTTTATAAAGAGGCGAGTATTTTATCTCTTGAGCCTACGCGACTTTTAGATCACGTAAACTCCGCAGCCTTGCAATTTTGAACCCAATTCAGAAGACAAGGGAACTCCTGGATCAATTATTCAGAGAAATTTGTCGGACTTTTTTACTGAACTATCTCGTATTTGCGTTAAATGTGGAAAAAAAAAGTTAAAACCTCCCACAGCAAGGGGATTCTGACCCATGATCTGTCTACCACTGAGGATATTTCTTATCAGCACTGTGGTCGGTGTGAGCCGGTTGAGGAATTCGTATCGAATAGCCATTGCTGGGATTCGAACCCGGGTCACCTCATTGGGAGGCGTACGATTTATTTCCTGAGCTACAGAGGCTCTAGATTACATTTCATCGCTTACTTTTAGCTTAGTGTGGTGAACCGTTAAATTTTACATCGAATATAATACTGGAGATCTCCCTGATCGAACGGTCTCGTTGATACGCTAAATGTTCTGCAGAGTGGAGGTAGTGGGTTTAAATCCCACCGTAACATTGAATGCATGTTTGACATCGACTTCGCGCGCAGGTCGTCGGGCTACCGAAGCGGGGGTGCCATCTCCTCCGCAGAGGATCAAAATTGTGATGGCATGTCTTCGAATCATCCTCCGGGATGTTTTCCAGACCGTCGCCAATAGCCCATTGTGCAGCTCTAGTGCGACGTAAATTAACAACAACAACAACAACAGCATATTTGACATACCCTTCTCTGAAATGTGGTATCAGCTTTTCATCTTGATAAGGGGCTTGAAAGCCGCCTTTCTAAACAAAACACAAGCTTACATATGTTTGCGTAACAGTAAATAAATTAAAAAAAACAAACAATAAATTTCTCAACTAATTCATGAAACTTATAAGTATGCGGGTAAAATAAATTCAATTTATAGGAATTTTATTAAATTTTTTTTTTCATACAAAATACACATTTCAGTTCGCCATTTTTTCTCAATATTCGTAAAACTGTTGATTTGTAAGCAGGTTCGATTCTCACCCTTGAAAATCGAAGTATATTTCCTTCTTTCTCTGTATATACAAGAAGAAAAAGAATTAAGCTATCACTCTTTATAACTTTCGCGATAAATTGGTTTAATTTCGAAAATTAAAATTGTGTGAGGCCTGTATAGCCGAGTTAGTAGAACTTGGGCCCATGTCCAAAAGGTCATGAGTTCGATCCTCTCCAGAAGAAGACTACAGTGTGCAAAATTGATACTGGTGTACGCTAAATGTACCTGGGTCTCAAATTCCTTCAAGTTCTCATAACTATCAATACCTCTGGAGCGGCGGTTGCTCAGGGGATAAAGCATTCGCCTCCCAATGATGTAAACCAGGTTTGAATCCCAACTGTTCCTGATTGGTACCCGGTTGGTACCCGGCTCCATAGTGACCCTAGTGCTGACGTAAAATATCCTCCGTGGTAGACGGATCATAAGTTAGAATCCTCTTGCCGTCGGACTAAAAGTGGGAGGTTTTCGTGATTTTCCTTTCCAAGTAATGCAAATTAGGGTTAGTTCCAACAAGAAAGTTCACGAAGGAAAGTTTGTGCCAGTGATGGATTCAGGAGTTCCCTTGTCTTCCAGGTTGGGTCGAATGGTCATGAGTTCAATATTACAGAGCTACCGAGTTGAATAATTACAGTGGTAAACTCAGAATCGGGTCGGCTGTACAATGCCGGTTGTAAAACAAAATCAAATACCTCTAAAGGGTTCTGGATCGGAGATTGGTCATTTACTGGTTCAGGTCAAAATTACGATGCACAATGGGCTATTGGCGGCGGTCTGGGAAACATCCCTGAGGATGATCCAAAGACCTACCATCACAATTTCGATCCTCTGCTGAGGGGATTTCACCCCCACTTCGGTAGCCCAACGATCTGCACGAGAATTCGAGTACTTTAAGGTAGAACAGCTTAACGAGGACCAATACCGCACACCCTCGGTCTCTACGCAGATTGATCTGAGTGGTCACCCACCCGCACACTGACCGCAGTCACTGATGCTTGACTTCAGTGATCTGCTGGGAACCGTGTCTTAACGATCAGTCCACTGGGGGACTTCCCTGTAAAATGAACTAAGACGTATAGTATTCAAATGTTGTATTTTGACCCTTAATGGCGCCACTGAATAACTTCGTTAATGGAAAAACAGAGCTATAAGCTTACACAAAAAGTTCGTTGCGCTAATCTACATTCCACAATCTCAAAATTGTGTTAATTAAGTATTCTATCTGTGGGACGGTGGCTGGCAGTCTTTTACGAAATTTTTTTTAAGAAAAATATCCTTTTTAAATTTATTACCACAATGACGGTAAGGTTTGAAATTTTAATTTCTTTGTTTTTAAATAAATTTATTATGCTCTTTAACCAGTTAATGTTTTCAAATTGTTTAAAAATAAAATTTTGATTCTTGCCAAATTTTGGTTCAATAATTCTTTGTAATGGGTTGCAATAAAATGGTACATTTATTTAACTTTAATAAATTGACAGTTTTTAATGTGTTTGCTTTAAATTCTTTCTTAAATAACAACTTATTTAAAAAAACTCATATTTTTTCTTAGCTATAAAAATTTTGAAGTTAAAATAATTTTCATCTTTTGCGTTTTATGATTGTTAAAAATGTTTACGTAAATATCACGAGTTTGATGAAAATAATTTGAATTTATTGTATTAATTTGTTTTAGAGGTTATAAAATAAATACTGAAAATATTCAGATAAAAATGTTGTACATTCAGGAATTTATTAGTTTTCTTTCATGCTTTTAACTGCCAATATGCTTTTTTTTTCTTCTAAATCTTTATTAGGAAATTTCGCAAATTTAATCGAGTGAATGTAGTATGTCCTTATACGAGTCAAATAATTATTAAACTTCACTTAAGTTTCATGCTTTAGCTTTTGTAGAATGCGAAAGTGAACACCCTCAATAACTTCTGATTTAAAGATCGGATTTTCGCTGGTGAAAATTTAATCAATTAGTGCGGGCGGTGTTTTGAGTTAAGAATTTGAGCACAAAAGCTTATTTTAACTGAATAAAGACGCCTTTTTTACAAATTATTTGAATTTGACACCCTTTAAATAGAGGGAAGGAGTAAACTGCATTCTGGAAAATATTGCCTTTAGAGGTCTTTTTCCCATAGACCGAACTGAACTTTAGAAAGGGTGGGAAAATTCTAAATATGGTTTTAATCCTCTTAATTTAATTTTCATAAACTGATGATGGATATTAACTCTAGTTGGCAATATCGTTCGATAACTGTAAAATACTAGGCCGCCACCCTATCAGAATTTAAGATATAAAGCGTGCAGTATTTTAGATTCTCTAATTTTTTCTTAGAAAATTATGCCTATACAATTCTGTAATCAACAGTTTTTGGTAGATAATTAAATAGTATATAGTTGCCTGTTTTTAGATTTTTTGTTAAGTGTCTTTGTTTTTATGCAATAAGTGTTACAAAATTTTTTTAACGTCATACAAATCGGCTTTCTTGAATTGAAACTGCAATCGAATTTTTGATTTTTTTTAAAATTTGATTTTGAAACATTCTGAAAACTTGTAGTTCTAAATTACTTAAACCCTCAAATAGCATCGATTTATTGCTTTAAAGTTTTGCGGAAAAATTCATGCAAATTTTAAAAATTATCATTTTTATTAACGAAAAAATCTACATATCCGAATCTAATAATGCTACTTTATTTTCCTCGTTTTTTAAAAGGTTTTATGCTGTCTATTATTTTATCAACAGTTTAAGTACAAGAAAATATATAAGACACAAGTTACATTTACCTAAAACCCAAAATGCCAAAAGGGCATTTTTTCCTTTTTTTCCCTTTCTATTCTATTCTATTTTATAGAACCATCTTAGTCTTAGTAGTATATATGAGGGGTCGAATGTTTGAGCACTTTTGTGTTATTTGACTTACAAGGGAAACTAGGGAACTAGGGAGCCAATTTTGAAATTAACTAGTGGGATGTATGCCTTATGAGGAATAATTTTAGGGCCCATAGAATATAGGGCCATTCGTTTCGGCCCATAGAAGGTCCTGTGAGAGATAAAAATAATTCAATATATAGAAAAATCGGTATTTTATTACTTCAATGCATATTAGTTATTGTAATTATTATTCAGTATATTAGTTATTCATATTAGTTATTGTAATTGTTTCCTACTTCAATTAATTTGTAATTAAATGGTTAAATAACTAATTTGCCAATTAGTGAATTAATTAGAGAATTAATTAATTATTAATTATTAATTGATTTGCAATTACATACACCAATTAATTTGGAAAATTTTTTGGAAAAAAAAATTTAAAACATTTATTGTCAATTTTTTTTTTAAATTAACCTAACAGGTTTTTCCGAAAAACTACATACATAGAAAATTTTCGAAATCAATTTTGACAATAAGTATACATTATATAGTACGTGAAAGTACCACGTTATTAATTGGAGTATGAGATAATTACAATAACTAATAGTCTGCATTGAAGCAATGAAATACTGATTTATCTATATCTTGAATTATTTTTTATCTCTCACAGGACCTTCTATGGGCCGAAACGTATGTTTCCCCCCTAAAATTATTCCTCATAAGGCATACATCCCACTAGTTTATTTCAAAATTGGCGAGTCACACTTCTCTAGAGTTTCCCTTGTTAGTGCGTATCTCGCTATATTTCGCGAACATTTTAAGCAAATCAAAAATTTTCTTCATGCAAAAATAAATTTCGTTTATCAAACAATGAAAAAACTTTGTAAACTTTTCGTTTAACAAACAATGAAATAGAAACGAATAGAAACGAATTCGTTCATTAATTTTAGTTTATTTCGTTTAACAAAAACTACGAACAGTACCTAATTATAAATTCATTGATAGAAACAGGAAATTCGACGTCGGCGTGGAGAAATATTCTGTCTTTGGATGAGCGTTTTCAGTGTTATGGTGGGTGTAGTCTTAACCTCTACCACAAGTCCTGATCAACCCGCTGACATCTGGTTTATCTCTGGAATAATTAGTGGATTTCTAGGTTCAGTTACTGCTTTTGGTTTTGTACTTTACGTAAGTAGATTTTGAAATAGTTTTAATGAAAACCTTTTGTTTTTCTCGTTAAAATAATGGAATTATAATGGAATAATAATTTTTTCTTGAAAATTAAATTATGTTAATGAATGAAGAGCCTAAAAAAAGAAGATACCAAATGTTTCAAGAAAATAGGAAGGATACAGATATTTATGGTTTGCTATGGTCTGCTTAGGAAACAATTTGTTCCTTCTATGTTTTATAGTATTTATAATAGATGTTGCTACAGGATGTGGTTATAGAAATTCACGATTTGCTGCTTTCTGATTAGGGAATATTTTTTCCTTATATAGTTAATGAAAGCTGGAAAGCATTGATAATGCTAGTTCATGAAGTAAATATAGAAATATAAGGTTTTCTGCGTTCTGTTTGGGAAACAAGAATGTACCGCTATGTTCAACGAAAGCTTGATAGCATTGATAATGGACGTTGGTACTTGATGTGGAAATTGAAATTCAAAATTTTCTGCATTTTGCTAAGGAAACAAGTTATTTATTCCCTGTAAGTTTGATTTCTCGCTAGTATTGATAACAGAAGTTACATGGTGGGATGTAGAAATTTACGGCTTTCTGCATTCTAATTATGAAACAAGAAATATTTCCTCCGTATTTAATGAAAGCTTGATAGTATTTATAACTGGTGCTGCTGTCTGATGTAGTTTTGAAATACTACTTGCTGCATTCTGCTTAGGAAACAAAATTTTAATCCCTCTATTTTTATTAAAAGCTTGATGGCATGAATAACGTCTGTCATAACATGATGTCGATTTAGAAATTTACAGTTTGCTGCGTTCTGCTTAGGCAATTAAATATTTACTCTTTTCATTTATTTATTTGTATGGGGAATGGTGATTTTTCATTCCTATTAAACTACGTTGTTTACGGTGAATTGCAATTATATTAAACGTAGTTCTGTCAGTCATGCTATTCTGCAGCTCCAGATGTTAAGGAACTATTTATTGTCACAGTTTCAAAATTAATTACATGTCTAGTTTCCAAAGCAACACGCAGAAAACTGTACACATTCTCCTTCCGTTTTCCCTTAATTGATTTTTCAAACATCCGTGATTTTTGGGGCTCCCAGTAGGAAATTACATTTAAGGAGAATAAGGTTTTAAAACTTACAGTATTCTGAATATAACTGGAGGATTTTTCTGACTGGTATTAAGGAGTGCAATTTTTAAAGGGAAGCAATGTTTCCTAAAAATATTCTTGTAGCTAAATTTGACAAATTTAATGTTCCTTTACTAGAAAAAATGTCCCAAAATAACGCTTTGCCTTGCTTATCAAAATTTTCTCTTCACGTGACCATTGCTTATAAACCATAAAAAAAAAATAGAAATTGCCCTTTCGTAGCATCTGATAGGAATTTAAATTTTCAAATGAACAATGGATATTTTGTTAAAAATTCAACTCAAACTTCTCAATACTTCAACAATGTATTTAGATATCATAAATATGTTTAAAATTTTATAATTTTTCTATAACTCTATTAATTCTAGAAGAATTGCAAAATATTGAGACAATCTGTACGTTCTCAAATTTTATTTTCTTGCGGCACGAAAAATTTAGAATATTTTAAAACTATACGTAAAATATTCCATAGAATAAGTATATTAAATGTGTAAAATTAACATAAAACTAATTTTTTTACCCATTTTAGTGACAATTTCAGATTTGTTCACTAAATGTAGATCACGAGAAACAAAAGGGCTTTTTTTATTACCTTTTACTTCTTTCGAAATTTATTTTAATGTTAGCGTGGGGAACTTGTGGAAAGTTTACAAAAACATTCTCATGAAATTTCACATTACTAATCCTCCTTTTCGCTCTTGTTTAAGTATCCAAAATTAACCAGATTTTCAGTGCTTATGAAATAAGGGTGGTAAAGCTGCGTCTTCATATACGTACTGTCCGGAAATCACGAGAACTACTCCAGACAACAGACTCGCGTGCTGGCGGTTACTATAGTTACGAAAATAAATCACTTCAAATAGTGATGAATCATTTTGCATTTATGTTGGGTGGGTCGCCAATTCTCCCACATTACAAAGGACTTTACTGTTTCCATAACTGATCAGTGTTTTCTTCCTAGTAATGTTTTCCACTCTTTATTTAAATTTTTATTTTGTAGTTGCACATTCAGATTGATAACGATAATTGAGTAATAGAGTAAGCTTTTAAGCTTTCCATTAATCTGCAAAATCTCTTGCTACATAAAATTCTGTCTTATGCTCTGAATGTAAGAGTTTCTGTTCCCCGATCTTTTGTTCACGTAAGATTTTGATCAGTTTTATTTTATCTGCTCGAAATTCAATCCCACGACAGAGAGATTATTCTACTATATTATTGTCAGTGCGAGAATTTGTCCCATGATAATTTTTTTCCGTGATATTGCCCCATTGTAATGAGCTTGCGTGAGTATTTTGCACGATATTTTATAGATACGATAAACTTTTTTTTAAAACTCAAAACAATATTGAAAAGTTAATGAATGTTTGTAACAAGTAAATTTAAATTTTTATTGTGGGATTAAAAACACACTAATGGCTAGAACTAAATTATTTAAATGCTAAAAATAGAAAGCCAATCTTTTAAAAAAAGCAGTAAAATAAACCCACAAACCTGAGGGTTAATTTTATTGCTACTACTATGATAATACTACTGTGATATTTCTTCATTTTGTTTTTGATAATCAGGTTTTTTTCTTTGCTAGTACTACAATCAGTGAGAAACATTGTATTAGTTTGGAGCAGCATACCCGTTTCCGTGTATTAAATTCTTCCGTTATTTATTACATTTTTATTTATCCTGTTTGAGTTTTGAAAATGATTGTTGAGTATAAAAGTTTTGTCCGAAATGTCTTAAACAAAATATTTTTGAAGAATTTAGTATTTTTCGAATGAAATTTTTGAAGAATTAAAAAATGGAAAATAAAGAATAAAAATTAAATATTTTTATAAAAAAAATGTTTGAATGCTTTTTCTGCATATTTTTGCACTTAGAAACATTGTTTCAACGTAGAAACATATCAGTAACTTGAACCATAATACGGTTCAAGTTTTCTGTAACCTTATAGAAAGATTTTGCACAGTTTATTTAATGCTAAACGTAACGATAACCTTACTGTTTCGCCCTTGGAGACACTGCAATTTGTAACGAAATTTTTCGTATGCGCTGTGAAGTTCAAATTGTGTTAGGTATAGTGCGGCGTTCATGAGAACTCCAGACACCAGTTTTGCTTCGTGGAGGGTACTATGGTTACGAGGAAAAGACATTTCGAATAGGGGTGCGTTATGAACAGTTTTCTCAGTAATAACCATAAGTAAACCAATTGACACCTTCGTTCCTCCATTTCACCCCCATTAGAAATATGATCTCGCTTGTTACCATAACAGCAGACAGCCCCAGACTTTTTGTCTGGAGGAGTTCTCCTCAAAGCCGAACTATAGGGAGAACAGTAATGCTTTGAAAAATTTCCATAATAAGGTGACAAATTGAACCATTCTGCATCACGTCTTCTGACCGATGTCAAAATAATGTGGTATTCCTGCTAAAAAGTGGAAAGACTGGTCGCTAAGAAAACTGGGCTAGGTGCTTGGCCATGGTTGGGTGATGTGTGAACCATTTTGACCATCAAATTGAATTGTAGTATTGAGTAATCAAATAAGAATTATAATACGATTCTACTTCATCATGATATCATCTTTGGTGCACGACAGCACAATATGCACCTTACCCTTCTTTAGAAAAATTTTCCTGAGCTCTCTTCTTCAGGCAGCAGTCCATTATGGTTAAACTTAGAGAAATATTATAATCCCAGGAAAATTTTGTCATTGTTCCTAAAAGTGTATCAAATATATTTTTGTATCAAATATAGTGTATCAAATATGTTTTCAGATTTCTTTTTCCTCTGAATATCATTATCAGGAGACAGTTTCAAGCAAAAAGGAAACTGCACAGCCGGAAAATCAGGAGAAGGAAAAACGGGAATCAGCATCTCCAAAAAACTCGGAGAATGAAAAGCTGGAACACCCCCAAAATAATTATCAACAGCATAAGACAGCCGATAAAACAGATCTGGTTGAATTGGATGAGATGAGACAAGCGGAATATCAGGAGGTGCAGGATATATTGAATAAAGCAACCAAAATGTTAGAAGAATTCCGATTTATTGCTGAAAATTTGGAAGCTGAAAGGAAGTGAAATTATGACTTCCGTAGGAAAAATATTTTTTAGTTGTTTAATAAGATTACTTTTAAATTTTTATGGTAAACGGTTCTTAGAACTGATGCTTTTAATGTTTTTATTGGAAATAAATGCATTTTTACTCTTTACAGTATTTTTCTTTTTTAAAGTGACTATCAAGCATTGTTTTGTGTACTAGACTTCAATGGTGCTTGCTGTTATAAAGCGAACGCGTAAAGTATATAATTGTAGCGTATCTACCACTACAAATATACATATCCAATTCACTAGTATATAAGACATGTTAACTCGACACTATGTTGGGGTATCTTTTCATAGATGACGGTTGACATTGTGGATAACTCCTCTCCCCACACTGGTGACTTTCGGACGTGATTTGAACACCCCTACGTTGGCAGATCTGAACCCGCTTACTTCGATTGATGGTACACATTGAACAGTTGACTTGCTACTTGTGATTGCGACATTATCCAACTCCTCACGCTGTTGCTACTCAGTCAGTCTCGATTACACAGAACGTACAACGTATTCACTCGACTGCTATAGGCAACACACGAGCAAATACGACCGTGAACTTAATACAGCTCTCCCGGCTTCTCACAAAAACAGCAATGAATTAACTAGTGGAATCCATTCGTCGAATTCTATCACAGATATAATTCTGGTGGGTGAGTATTGTAGCGTATCTACCACTACAAATATACAAATCCAATTCACTAGTATGAGATATGTTAGCACGATTCTATGGAGGGGTAGACATGGTCGAAAGCTACTATCCCCACATAATCATCGGAAAAACTGGAGTTTAAAAATGGCAGCTGAAATGGTTACATCCTGAAGCGGGCTTAACAATTACAAGGATGCCATAGCACGGGAGAACCTTTTCGTCGCATATACTTTCACCTTCATAAGTAATTTAAAATATAGAAAAAGTGAGTGAAAGGAAACCTAGAGTATGCCATAAAGATTCAAATAATGATAAATTTTAAAAAATCCAAATGAAAATAAATATAAGATAAGTTAGGATTACCCAATTGAGAAGTTCTCTTCCAATGATTCGTTTGCTTTTTGAAATTTTTTTTCTTCAGTAATTGAAATTTCATTGCTTACTCCATGTATACCTGAACTCTTTCTTTCAAATTAGTAATGAAGGTGAAAGAATTTGCAAATTAAAGTTTCTCCTTAAGTTTCAAAGACTGATACACGAGTGTTCAAACATGAGAAGGATTATAATCCAGTAATTATCAGTGTCCAAAATTGAGAGGGATTATAATCCAGTAATTATCAGTGTTCAAAATTGAGAGGGATTATCCAGTAATTACCAGTGTTCAAAAATTCGAGATTAATGTAAAGTACCAGTGAATTGAATTTAAATCTAATTTGAAACAAATAATTCGTGGAATTTCCTAATGTGCACAATTATAAATTTCAGCATTTGGAGACGTAACAGCTAATTTAATATAAATTTGCAAAACTCATAAAAACATGAAAAAAATAGTTGGCCAATCTATGTTGATCCCTTTTCTGTGTTTGTTTTATTTTAGAACCATTGTTGACCAGCGACCCAATTTTGAGTTTACGGCTACCAATGTTCAACTCTGTAGCCTTGCAATTTTGAAGGAACTCTTGGATCATGTATTCGGAGAAATTTGCATCCGCGGAGGACTTTTTTTTAATGGTACTAACTGGCATTTGCATGACATGGAGAGGAAAACCTCTCCAATTTAATCTGAAGGCAAAGGGACTCTAACCCATGATGCAACTAACATTGAAAATATGTTACGTCAACATTGGGATCGGTTCGAGCTGGGTGCGGAATTCGTATCGACCAGCCATAGCTAGGGTTCTAACTCTGGTCACCTCAGTCGGAGGCGAGTGCTCTATGCCCGAGCCACCGCTACTCCGTTAATTATGATGAATTGTTAAAACTAGAATATAGCTTTAAATTATTGAGCCTGCATATACTGATTAGCATAGTTTAAACAGAAATATAGCTCAGTTTGTTTTGAGTTTCTATGAACGGTCAGTTTTTAACATTTCACTTCCGTCCAACTTGCGGTTTATTTTGTTCACCGTTTTGTTGCCCATTGGAGATAAAAAAAAATTCGTTTAGAAGTGTGTAAACATGTACTTTAATGTGTTTATGCCAATAACTCACTCGCTTGATGTTTCTGTTCCTCGTTGTCCCTGTTCCTCGTTGTTAAGTATTTTTATAGGTTTATTTGTTTATTGGAATTACATATATTCTCCGGCTTGTGTACGCAATTTAGAATTATAAACCTTAGTCAAGTAGAAGGACAGATAGCACAATAAAGAAAAGAACGGCACGAAGATACATCCAGGGTAACAGCGGGACTCGAACCCGCTACCTCGATACTTTGCGCAGCGTTTGACAGACGATACCGTTCGGCCAGGAGGGCCCCCAATTTCATAGGTTTGATAATATATATTTACCTACAGATATACGCCTTAGTTTTTCATAACTACTGATAAAATTCGAATAGTCAAAATGAAGCGCGAATTCAATTACAGTTCAACAGAACTAGTTGTTGTCGTGTTTATGCATACAGTGCTAGTTCAAAGATTAGAGTCCTCCAAAAGTCTTGATAACAAGATTTGCAAGTTCTGGAGCCCGATGGCCATGGGGGGTGCTCCAAGTTGAAAGAGGGAGCCGATAATGGCCTGGCAGTCAAAAACATGGTCTGGAGTTAGTTGCAAATGAGGACAGTACTTGCAGATGGGATAGGATTTTATATTGGTGCGTGAGATCTTCATACCTTTGAAATGTCCAGTACGTAGCCTAGCTATTGTAGAGGAGAGGTTTCTTGGGCAGTTTAAATCGGGGATTGTGGCCTTGTTAAAAAGCTGGTTGTATATCCTTCGCCTGGTGACAGCATTCGCATCTGCACAGGTGACAGCTTGATCAAGCTGTCACCTGTGCAGATGCGAATCAAAACTAGTCCTCATAGTCTATGAGCTTTTCATTTCGCCTATGCATGATTAGGAGAGCGCTACACCACGGGTCTTCTTCACCTGCTTCTCGAAACTTCAAATTACTTAAGTAGATAAAGAATTTGTCATGAAGAGTTTCTCTTTTGGTATAGCTTGTTCTTGTAAGAACGCTATATCGAGGGGAAAACCTTTCATGGCAAATTCTGTCTCACCCACATAGGTAATTTAAATTTTAGGTAAACCATTTGAGACAACTTAATTTTTTTTCTCCAAAATATCAAAATGCAAACAAATTATGTCAAGATTACTTCTCCAAAATGTTAAAATGCAAACAAATTATGTCAAGATTACTTCTCCAAAATATCAAAATGCAAACAAATTATGTCAAGATTACTTCTCCAAAATATCAAAAGGACAACAAATTATGTAATTACAAATCAGGTAACGACAAATTAAGAAGTAATCTTGCCATAATTTGTTTGCATTTAGATATTTTGGAATTATTTTAGAAGGTGAAACTTCACGGTTTATACTATGTTTACTAAGAACCACTTATCTTTAAACTTAAAAATATATACCAATGGAAGTGAAACAGAAGTTACCAGGAAAAGTTTTTACTGAGCTATAGTATCCTCTTTAGAGCACACTATATTGCGTGAAAAACTTTTCATCGGAAATTTTGTTTCACCTCCATTGCTTATTTAAAATATGGAGTATGGAAAAAAATGAGTTCCAAGACAAACCTAGTGTAAACTACGAAGTTTCAATGACTGAAATTTTTTTTTTTCAAAACATCGAAGCGCAAATTATTGTAAGAGAACTTCTCAATTAAGTAATCCTAAGTAATGCTCTCATGGCTTTCAAAATTTTCTGTTTTTTCTAGTAATTTTAAGGTGTTTTTTTTTTCCAGATAAAAACAAAACCCACTTTTCCCCCCGCTTTTTCAAGGTACATGACAAAAAAAAAATATTCGCCTACACCTGACGTTATATTGATAGTTTTCCTTTAATTTATTTACAAGATAAAGTCATATTAAAAAATCACAAAAAAATCTCAAAACCTGTGTGAGAATTTTTTTTAAATCATTAAAATTAAGAAATAACAACAAAAAAAAACCCTACCCGTCTCAAGAATAATTGGTTAAACTACACACTACGAATAAAACCGTTTGTTGCATAATTAATTGACCACAAGGCAGAAAAATATCTCAGTGAATTTACACACTTATTCATATACATTTTATTAGCAAAATAATTTCACTCTTACAAAAGACATTTTATTTAAAATAAAATTATAGAAGAATTGAAATATTACTAAAATTGCGTATTTACATTGAAATTTAATAAATACTTATTACTGAACAGTACTGATTCAATAGGCCTTTTTTTTCCAATATAAATTTTTTTGTCTCCAATTTTTAAGTACAAATTTTGTCTTTACGTATTAAAATAATCAGAGACTTTTATTGATAAATTGCATACAATGATAATATTGGCTGTAAAGATAATAATCACATTTTGGATACAAAGATAAGGACAATCAGTCTCATATTGAATGTTAAGATAATTACATAATTGATACAAAGATAATGACAGTCTCATGTTGGATACAAAGAGGATGAAAGACTTGCAATGGATACAAAAATAATGACAGTCTCATGTTGGATACAAAGAGGATGAAAGACTTGCAATGGATACAAAGATAATAACAGTCTAATGTTGGATAGAAAGACGATGAAGGTCTTTTAATGTATAATAAGACATGATGATATGACAGTCTAATACTGACACAAAGCCTCTTATTGGACATAAAAATAATGATACTCTCATAATGGGTATAAAAATGAAAATTTCATATTGCTATCACTATTCAATAGAAAGACAGTGAAAATCTCACATTAAATGCCATGATCAAGAAAGTTCCATACTGGCCACTAAAATCATTTTACTTTCATTCTCAAGTTTAACACTGTGCCAAATTCTTCTGAGTCTTCGTCCCATCTAAATAAAAACAAATTACAATATTTTTATTTTTTCGGTTTATTATGCCATTAGAAAAATACACCGAAGAGCCATTACATTATGACCATCCTGCTAATAACATGTAGGACCACCTTTACCCCTAAAAACTGCCGTGGCATTTATTCCACAAGGTGTTGATAGGTAATCTGAGGTATCTGGTTCCAAGCGCTCACCAACTGGTCCTGCAATTCCCTCACAGTGCGTGGCAGCACGAATTTGGTTTTCCAAGTAGGACCGCAAATGCTCTATTGGATTAAGGTCAGGTAAATTTTGGGGCCAAGACATGACTTGAAAGTCACGGAATGTTCCTCGACGATTTGACCCTTATGACATGGTGCATTATCCTGTTGGTAAATACCATCCCCCGCAGGAAAAACTTTTGCCATGAATGGGTGAACCTGGTCTGCAACTATGTTCAAGTAGCTTACAGACGTCAGGGATTGTTCTATGAGGATTATGGGTCCGAATGTGCCCCATGAAAGCATTGTTCATGGGCGAGAAACCATGAAAACCTGGGTGAGCCCATTGTTATAGATGGAAGGTGGTCATAATGTGATGGCTCTTCTGTGTATATAAGGTAGTTTTTTTTTTCTTTTTGAGAAAACAATTTGCATTCAAATATAATTTCTTTGTTTGAGGTTGGACATGTAGTGTGTCTACCACAACAAAAATAAAAATCCGATTCACTAGTATGTAAGACATGTTAACTCGATTCTATGAAGGGTTACCTTTTCATAGATGAAGTCGATATCTAACTCTCCCCACATTGGTGACCTTCGGTCGTGATGTGAACATGTCTCTTGACAGAAACTCACATTTCGATCTGAACACGCTTACTTCGATGTTCCACATTGAGCAGTTGACGTGCTACTTGTGACTGCTACATTATCCACCTCCTCGCGCTGTTGCTACTCAGTCTCGATCACACACAACGTCTGCCTGCATACACTCGACTGGTAATGGAAACACAGGAGTGACCATAACCGTTAATACAGCTCTCACGATCAGCGTTTAAAAGTATGGTGATCTTAACACAGCTCTCCCGTCTTTCTCACAAAACTGCAATAACTCAACTAGTATTCGTTCATCGAATTTTATCGAAGTCTACCTCTATAAAACTACAAATCCAATTCACTAGTGGGCAAGACATGTTAATTCGATTCCATGAAGGAGTACCTTTTCATAGATGAAGGTTGACATTGTCAATATTTCTACTCTCCCCACAGACGCATCAAACACTAAAGTTTTATTTTTATTTATCACTCCTATTGAAATCTGAAGAGTAAGTTTATTCCCAGAAGTTAATACACTGAAATTTTCTCCAGTAAGGTGTATATAAGATTTTTTTTCCATTATTTATGGCTTAAATGTTCGAAAATCTCATGCTGCATATAGGTATACATACACATATTAAAACTATGTAAGACTAAAGAAACCAAATAATAATTAAATACTATCAAAGCCCTCTGAATAAAAGCTTGCACCAATAAGTCAGTACGCAACTGCGACTCTATTATTTTAATTAAATCTAAATTTTTCGAATTATTGGTACTAGTTAAACCAAAAAATATTCAAGAGATAAACGCATCTCGCTTTCTCGCTTTTTTCTTCTTTATATCTCTATTCTCGCTTTATACTTGCTCTTGAGGAACTAACGAACAAGTAAAAACAATGTTATCTTTCTCAATTTTTTTTCCCCATTGCGTTTTGCATGCTTTTAATCGAAGCATGAAGAAATGTATTGTGTGTCGATGAAAATACTAACTCTTTTCACAATTTGTCTGGAACAGTAACTAAGAGATTTGACTATCAAGCAATAATAATAAGTTGGGTCAATAATTAAAGCTGCTTTTTAAAGGGTTCGTCGTAATGTTAAATGAGGCTTTTTTGCGTATAATATGCTATTTATATAACTGCTGTGAGTTTGTAATTGCTACTCATGAGTCATGACTGCCAGGTTCAGTTTAGACTATCTAAAGCCAGTGCTGTCTACGCTTATTTTGCAAATGGGAGCAAAAAGTCAATATGGAGAAAAGCCACAGAGGGAATGAAAAGTATTTGTGGTCTAATTTTTTTTTAATATTTAAAAACTTACTCTAATGTTGCATTACCTGTGCTCATAAAAATTTACAAAAACTGAGAATAAGAAAGTGATTTTGAGAATTTTCATCTAGGTGGAAAAATGTCACTAAATAGGCGCTATTTTAAAGTGTACCAAATTTAAAAAAAGTTTACTAACTTTTAAAATATTTAAGTTATGTACCTGTTCAAAATAATTCTTCAGATAATTGCCCAGATAATTCTTCATAGTAAGATTATAAATATAGTTTGAAATCATTGCATTGCTTTAAATGTAAGGAACTCAAACTTTGGCTTTTTTATCTTTCTTGACAACAGACCTTCGAAAAACAGTTCGAAAGACATGTTTTTGCTCGAATCGGTGAAAGTAAGGGAATCTCTTTTCATGGGTTTTTTGGAAAGCTACCCTCTTTGAAATGTGATATTTCTTGTTTCCATAGCAGCAGACGGCCTGTGGCGAGAGGAGTTCTATTTATGGACAAGCCATATGTCATCACAGTTTCTTATTTCATAAAAAAGAAAAAAGAAAATAATTTCGTTCAAGATTTTTGAAGAAAATTGACAGGGTCTATCTCATTGATGACGCATTTTCAGCGGTGTTCATATCTAATGCGTTTACAAGATGTACAAATTTTAAAATGACAATTTTTTTTCAGATTTTTGAAGAAGCATTTAATACCAAATGCGCAGGTAGGATTTCAATTATACTATCTGTGTAACTAAGGATCTCCCCCTCCTATAGTGCATGAGGCTGTCTACTGCTTCGGAAACAAGAAACTCACATTTCCGAGAGGCGTTTTCGGTAAATCTTTCACCAACCCACATCAAAGTCTTTCTTTTCATGCTTTTTGACCCACACTCTTACTTGAATTAATTCAATCTCTAAACTATAGTCACCGACAGTACTCCAAACAATTGGAGAAGGGAGATCTTGTAATAGACAGACAGTACTATCAAACAACAACTTTAAAATATCTATTCCATTAGGTCAGTATAAACTCGATCGAAACAAAATCACCAGACAAAACGACCAGGCATTTTACCAAGATTTATATAGAACACTTATATGAAATAGATGTGTCCTCTAAGGGAGTCTCAAAGTTATATACACCGAAGAGCCATTACATTATGACCACCCTCCATCGATAAAAATGGGCTCTCCCAGGTTTTCACGGTTTCTCGCATAGGAACAATATTTTTATGGGGCACATTAGGATCCATAATCCTCATAGAACAATCTCTGACATCTGTAAGCTACTTGAACATAGTTGCAGACCAGATTCAACCATTCAAGGCAACAGTTTTTCCTGCGGGGGATAGTGTTTACCAACAGGATAATGCACCATGTCATAAGGGTCGAATCGTCATGGATTGGTTCGAGGAACATTCCACTGACTTTCAAGTCATGTCTTGGCCCCCAAATTCACCTGACCTTAATCCAATAGAACATTCGTGGTCCTAATTAGAAAACCAAATTCGTGCTGCCACGCTACTCTCTCTCAATGTGAGGGAATTGCAGGACCAGTTGGTGGGCACTTGGTACCAGATACCTCAGACTACCTATCAGCACCTTGTGAAATCAATGCCACTGCGGGGGCTAGCAGTTTTGAGGGCTAAAGGTGGTCCTGCATGTTATCAGCAGGGTGGTCATATTGTAATGGCTCTTCGGTGTAAGTCATAATACTGATTATAAGTTTTGAAAGAAGTTAGTGGAAAGAGATTTTTAAAGATTTATTGAAATCTGCTCTTTTTTCATGCCTACTACCGTAGCACTCCACCTCACTCCAAACGCAGAGGTATCAAAAACACATATGTAAATATGAAGTTTCATTTTATGTGGTTAATTTATGGAATTTCTAAAACCTACTTGGAAATCATACAGAGAAGCAGTTTGATTTAAAAAAAACTCACCTTTGGCAGCATGTACATAATCATAAAAATTCCCCAACCCCATCATACAATTTCTTCTAAAAAAAATCTTTTGCTAGTATTTTCACGAGATATTTCCACCGCGGTTTTATCTTATGTACTTTTAACAGACACCAAGAAAACTAAATGATCAAAAAAAATTTAAGGTACTTACATAATAAACGCATACAGCACAGCAAATGGTTGAGGCGCAAAAGAAACTCATAATGACATATTTGTACTTATCATCCTGATATACATAATGAAAAATCAAGAAAATAGTGATGCAAATGATAGTGAAAAGCATGAATATGCAAGCGAACACTAATAGTAAGTTGTTGTAGTACTGATTAACCAGCGTATAGGGCCTGTCTTCATACCTCCTGTTTGAATCACTTTTACATCGATTCAGTTCCCGCATAACTCTTTCACGTTCAGCTTCTAGCTTTGTTCCACCACCATTACGAAACTGAAAGAGTTCAAAAATGTATATTATACAGGGTATTCCGTAAACACCATTCAGAACATATAATTTTTGAATCCCAGTCCCAAATAAAGCCAAGCTTTTATACACATTATTGTTTATATCCGTCGTTGAACAGTCGACCCAATTTTTTGGGTTTACAACTAGTGATGTTCAACTCCATAGCCTTGTAATTTTGAACCAATCCTGAAGACAGGGAAACTCCTGGATCAGTACCCCCAGAGGTTTTGATTTGTTATGGGAACATGGAGGACTTTGCGACTCGAAATATTTAACGTGCATCAGTCACCTTTTACTACACGGGAGTCTTCGGCCGGCGGGGATTGAACCCACGACCTCTTGGACATGGGCTCAGTGCCCTGCCAACCAGGCTATTCCGGCCCTTTTATACACATTAGGAGTCATTAATTAATATTTAATTGGAGGATACCCTTATAATTTAGAAATATTGGATTCAAAACACGTTGCTTCTAGCCACGATATCCAGCCATTGAGCTTTTACGAATTAAGTCAAGGAGGTGCGCCTTTCGTTTGACAAGAGAGTACCATGAGGGTGAAAGTACGTCTTAGCTAAGAAAACTAAGTATAGATGGTAGCACTACTTATTTGTGAAGTCACTTTTTCAATTTAGGCATACATTTGAAGAGGAAGGAAATTTTCTCCTGATCCCTGTAACCATGGTGCTGCTCATCGTCAGGACTTTTGATTTAACAGATTTTACGAGCACGTATATTGCATGTATTTGGTGGGTTCGAGGATAGAACCCGGGCCCCTCCGTACCGGAGTCTGATTCTCTAACCACTAGGCTTCCACAGCCCTAAGAACTTCATTGATTTGAGCAATTTGAGAGGAAGAAAATTTGGTTATTAGACGTTTTTAAATTTCTTCTAACAAACTGATTTTGATGTTTTTAATACCGCTATTGTCTCTAGAAATTTTACCTGTATTAAAAACGTTTTTTCTGGTTTAAATATTAAAGCTTGTTCCAAATATATATATTTTTCATTCTATATTTAAAGCGAATTCTAAAAATATATGTTAAGAATAGTGATAACATAATGTGAAAAAATGTAAGAAAAATATTAATTTGGTAGCAAACAATTGTACTCAGTAACAGTCAGTCAAGTACAACCAACAACCTTTGCAACTACTTTGTTCTTCGATAATACAGTGGTTGGGCAAAAATATGGAAGCTTTTCTATACTAACTCTATCTGACCAATCTTTCTTAAAGCAGAAAATGTGCTGAAAATTTTATATGGCAGAACTGTTGACTCAATTTGAAAGAACAGCTGTTGTTTACCCACGCAAATTTCGGATCGACTAAAATTAGGAGAGGAAGTTTGTAACCTTTTTCTAGCTTTAATGTCAGCAATTTTTAAATTATTCTGCAGGATATCAATATTTAAATTATAAGGTTTTTTTTAATTACGGTGGTTATTGAAAAAAGAACGAAGCTTTTAACTTCCTACACTCATTTCAGTTAATTTAAAAATGGCATCATTTTTAAAAAACTAAAAGTATGATCTTAAAAATTGTGTCAAAAGTTTTGCGAAGTAAAATCTTCCAAAAAATTTGTTGCTAAAAGAAGGATTGTTTACATATAGTTAGTAAAGAAGCGTTTCTATATATTTGTCAAGCCTCTGTAAATATTTATTCCATAAACGACTTGTGGAAATGTGTAGGTCCACTAATTTTACTGCTACAATTGTAACTGATATAACTCATAGATATATTAGTTGTTGTTGTTAATTTACGTCGCACTAGAGCTGTAAATGGGCTATTGGTGACGGTCTGGGAAACATACCGGAGGATGATCCGAAGACATGCGATCACAATTTTGATCCTCTGCGGAGGGGATGGCACCCCCGCTTCGGTAGCCCGACGACCTGCGCGCGAAGTCGAGCACTTTACGGTAGCACAGTTTAACGAGGACCAATACCGCACACCCTCGGTCCCTACGCAGACTGATCCAAGTGGTTCACCCACCCGCACAATGACCGCAGCCAGTGATGCGTGACTTCGGTGATCTGCTGGGAACCGTGTCTTAACGATCAGTCCACTGCGGGACCTACTCATTAGTGAAGCCACTTCTTCAATTTAGGCATACATTTGAAGAGGAAGGAAATTTTCTTCAGATCCCTGCAACCATGGTGCTGCTCAGCGTCAGGACTTTCGATTCAACAGATTTTACGAGCACGTATATCGCATTATTCGGTGGGTCTTAACGGAGTAGAGGATCGAACCCGGGCCTCTCCGTATCGGAGTCCGATTCTCTAACCATTCCACAGCCCTAAGAACTTCATTGGTTTGAGCAATTTGAGAGGAAGAAAAATCGGTTACTAGATGTTTTTAAATTTCTTCGAACAAACTGATTCTGATGTTTTTAATACCGCTATTTAATACCGCTATGCTAGAAATTTTCCCTGCATTAGAAACGTTTTTTTCTGGTTTGAATATTAAAGCTTATTCCAAATAATATCTTTTTTTCATTACATATTTAAAATGAATTCAAAAAATATGTGTTAAGAATAGTGATAACATAATGTGAAAAAATGTAAGAAAAATATTAATTTGATAACAAAAAATTGTACTCAGTAACAGTTAGTCAAATACAACCAACCACCTTCGCAACTACTTTGTTCTTCGATAATGCAGAGGTTGGGTAAAAATATGGAAGCTTTTCTATGCTAACTTTATCTGAACAATCTTTCTTAAAGCAGCAAATGTTTTGAAAATTTTACATGGCAGAACTGTTGACTCAATTTGAAAGATCATGCTTGAATTTTTCTAGAACAGCTGTTGTTTACCCACACAAATTTTGGATCAACTAAAATTAGGAGAGGAAGTTTGTAACTTTTTTCTAGCTTTAATGCCAGCAATCTTGAAATTATTCAACCGTATTTCAATATTTAAATTATAATGCTTTTTTAATTACAGTGGTTATTGAAAAAAGAACGAAGTTTTAAACTTCCTACACTCATTTCAGTTAATTTAAAAATGGGATCATTTTTAAAAAGCCGAAAGTATGATCTTAAAATTTGTGTCAAACGTTTTGCCACGTAAAATCTTCAAATACAAATACAATAAAAGAAGGATTGTTTACATATAGTTAGTAAAGAAGCGTTTCCATATATTTGTCAAGCCTCTGTAAATATTTATTCCATAAACGACTTGTGATAATGTTTAGGTCCACTAATTTTACTGCTACAATTGTAACTGATATAACTCATAGATATATTAGAGATATATTAGATGAATGTATTAAATTTATAATTTTTTTTTATCAAGCTTACGAAAACAATAAGTTATAATAAGTATGGTAACTCAATCTCACTATCTAAGTCAATCAGGTTATTAGTTAATAAAGAAAATACACTATAAAAAATATTTTGGTATATAATTCCCACAATTTTGGTGCTGAGGTAAAAACTAAAATTTTTCACTGTTATAATTTAATTTATTAATTCAAATTTTGCTTGCTTACTGACACAAATTTTCATGCACTTTAGAATCAATTTACAGCTTTATTGTAAAAACATTTCACCTAAAAAAACAACCACTTTTTTTGTAATATAATAAATAAGTTTTGAACGATAACTACAGTTCTGAAAGTAAAAATAATGGCAACCATTATTTTTACGTTCACCAAAAATAATGGCAGCCATATTCCAACATTTTCTACGGTGTTCTAAACTTTACCATAGCTTAATTTCGAAATTATGTTATACTTTGTAAAGATAATCATACATTTGCAACAAATACACAGAACTCTTTAACTATCAAAATTTCTTTTACTAGAAATTGAAAGTCAAATTCACTAGATTGGCACACAATAAAAGTGATGTTTAGTCAGAAAAATAAGGAATTGTTTTGAAGAACTTTGAATCTTATGATCATGTACTGTAAATAAAATGCCAATTTGCTATATAAATCGTTCAAAAATATAGCTTAAAATATACTTACTGATAAATTTTACCAATTACTTTTTAACAAAGAATCTCATTAAATCCCAAGTTACGAAATCTGAGATAAAATAAATTTCTGAATAATTCTAAAAGAATATGAACTCGTTTACGAAAAATGGAATGCATTACTCTTTAAATTGTCACTATGAAATATAGTTAGAAATATTTTAAAAGAAATTTTATTAGCAAGTCTGGATGTTTTGATCATAATTTCAATTGCTAATTTGCAACCAAAAACATTTTTAAAAAAAATCACATTTAAGATGTGCTTACTATTAAGTTTCAACAATTGTTTTTCTATGTTATAAGTATCGATTTCTAGATGGCATATAAAAAAGACATAAAATAATAAATGAACTGTTATCAATAACCTTAAGTTGGTTCATTTCTTATTTTATAACCGACACTTATGACTATCAATGTTCAACTCCCCAGCCTTGTTATTTTGAACACAACCCAGAAAACAAGAGAACTCCTGGATAAGGGCATCTAGACAAGTCTTCGTGGAAGACTTTTCATGGAACTAAGCCGCATTTGCGCTTCATGGAGAGGAAAACCACAAAAACCTCCCGCAGTCAGCCAGGTGACAAAAAGATTATAAACCATGATCCGACTATCACTGAGGATATTTTACGTTAGCATTGTAGACGGTGCGAGCTGGGAGCAGAATTCATATCAACTAGCCACCACTGAGATTCGTCCCTGGATCACCTCATAGGGAGTCGAACTCTCTATCCTCTGAGCCTTCCCGGGTCCGGGTTGGATCTTATGATCAGAATATTAACAATTAACTTGTAAAACAAATTGTTGGAAAATTATATTTAAAATGAATATAAGGGTATTCTGTGACTACCACCCTCAATATATATTTTAGGAATTTTGTCTTAAAGGACGCCGCAAAAATATAAACACTATTACCCAAAAATATAGCACAGTTCCCAAATTACCTCCAAAGTGTTAAAAAAAAAACAAAGTATTTCAAAATCTGGCGATAAAATTTTATATATGGGAGAAGGTTATTCCAATGAGGACACTTATTTTTGACAATTGATATTGACATCAAGTTTGACAATTTTAAAGCTTTATCAAGGGAATTATTACCTTCCATATTATGCACACACAGATGTAGATTTTATAATTACAAAATTAAATATTGCAAATATGTGTATAAATATTGTAAAAAAAAATTTATTCTATTGACTACTTTCTATGAATAAGCAAGTAGCTAATTTATATTTCAATAAAAAAAAAAAAGAAATTCTTAGTAAGACCATAATTACACCATTTTTTCTATCTCTTTCTATTACTTCGGGTTTTCTATGCGTTTAGATCCAGCAGAAAGGCATAAATCAAATTATTTTAAAATGTAGATTCAATTTTTCCTGATTAGCATTTTCAGAATCATAATTTTTTACAACTCAGAAAACGTTATAGTCCTTAATGTTTATCATGTAATGCTTACTTGAAGGCAACTATAATTAGGTTCTGAAATTCTGTTATATATAGCTGTTTATATAGCTGAAAAATGTTGATTAAAAGCAGTTTTAAATACCAGTAGCATTTAACATGTTATAATAGTCTCTCTATTGTGTTTACATTGAAAACTTAGTGGGAAAGAAACAAAATTTGTTCTCTTTCCTATCAAAAATTCGTTTGAATATTTATTTACCCTCGATCCAGATAGCGATTTTAAATTTTCGTAACGTATTTTTAACTATCATCTTACTCCCAATACTACAAATTAATGAACGCGGCCTTAAGAAAAAGCCGGCTGATTGATAAACGTTCCTCAAAGTAATCCATCAATTTGTGACTGTTAAAGCGCATATTTTTTACCTTCACTTCACAAAAAACATATTTAAGAGTGGTGCTTACAGAGAACCCTGTATATATAAGAATTATTTATTTTTGAAAATTCGACACATATTTCTTTATTTTTTAGTGGGGGTAGATTGCTATACTTTTTGAATTATCAGATGCACACACAATATATTTAACATTAATAATGACACAATATATTTAACTTTAAAATTAAATTTTCAAAAAAAAAAATTTACCTAGTAATTCAGTTATTCTTAAATACAATACACAGCATAGTATTGCAATAACGACAATGTAGTAAATCAATAAAAATAATAAATTATTTCACACTTACTCTTTTGAAAACTTCGCAGATGTTTGAAAAAGTGTTTGCCATTGTATTTTCAAAATCAAACAGGGTAAAATTTTAACTCATCAGAAAGAATGTGTTTCATAATAGTAGCATTAGAAAAACAAAAGCATCAACGGTCAAAAAAATTAATCGATACAAAATCGATATTTCCTTTCTCAAACACAACTGAATATATCCCGTAGGGTGGAGATAGCGGGTTCAAGCCTCGGCTTCACCATGGATGATGTCCTATTATGCTATCCTTCTCCGATTTTTGCTTGATTTGACAAGGCTTATATGACATCTCAGCGACAAGCACGCAAGCTTGCATACATATGTATAACAATAAACATAAAAATAAGTTGTCGAGGAATTTCAGTCTCCCATTAAATAGTCAAAAGCATGGAGGTCGCGAGTTCGAATCCTGTCGTAGCCCTGGTTTTATTTTGGTACTGTCTTTTTCGTATTTGTGCAGTCTTGGTTTCAACTTAAAAAGCCTTTATACCCCATTCGTTGTATGGAGCATTCAAAATCGCATGCGCACTCAAATAAATTTAAGTTCCGCTATAAATTGAGGTCTTAGTGGACCTTTTGTCTGTTTTTTGTAGTGACGTGGTCCTTTTGTTTTTTTTTACGTTCTGAAAAGTAGAAATAGCAGATTTGATCCTGATGTTATCTTGGATGCATAATTGTGATATTCTTTTATATTTTATACCATTTTTAATTTATTCTGTTGCTGTTGTTGTAGTAGTTCATTTACGTCACACTAGAGCTGCACAATGGGCTATTAGCGACGCTCTGGAAAACATCTCGGAGGATGACCCGAAGACTTGCCATCACAATTTTGATCCTCCGCAGACGGGATAGCACCCCCTCTTCGGTAGCCCGACGACCTGCAAGCGAAGTCAAGCACTTAACGGTAGAACAGTTTAACGAGCACCAATACTGCACACCTTTGGTACACAGACTAATCCAAGTGGTCACCCACCCCCGCAATCTGACCGCAGCTAGTGATGCTTGACTTCGGTGATCTGCTGGGAACCGCGTCTTAACGATCAATCCACTGCGGGACTTTAATTTGTTCTAATTTTAATTTGTTCTTCAATTTGATAAAGGTTTATTATAAGCCGTACAACTCTGCAGATTCATGCGTATAAATAAATAACTAATTAAAATATATAGGACACAGTAAATAAGTCCGAGGCCATCTTTGAAGATTCATTCCACCAAATGCTCTGTAGTATGGAGGTAGCGGGTTCGAATTACGCAATAACTCTGGAAGTATCTTTGTGGTATGCTTTGTTAACTTGTGTTATTAATTCTTCAATTTAACCAGGTCCCGCAGTGGACTGATCGTTGAGATACTGTTCCCAGCAGATCACCGAAGTCAAGCATCACTGACTGCGGTCAGTGTGCGGGTGGGTGACCACTTGGATCAGTCTGCGTAGGGACCGAGGGTGTGTGGTATTGGTCCTCGTTAAAATGTTCCACCGTAAAGTGTTCGACTTCGCTTGCAGGTCGTCAGGCTACCGAAGCGGGGGTGCCATTCCCTCTGCAGAGCATCAAAATTGTGATGGCATGCTTTCGGATCATCCTCATGGATGCTGCCCAGGCCGTCGCCAATAGCCCATTGTGCTGCTCTAGGGCGACGTAAATGAACTATTGCTACTACTACTACTACAATTTAACCAGCTCCTATGAACCATACTTTTTCCCCACAATCTTACAAGCCTGAAACAATCAATCTACCTATGCATATAATAAAATAAAAAATTTGTGTGTGCCTGTATATTGGATCGCCAGTATACCGTAAGCTCTAAAAATACGACATTCAATATGAAGTTAAATGAGTTCGATTATAAACAAATGACGAAGCCCAAATTTTTTATTTTCTTAATTACATTTTTAATTTAGAGATTTAGAGATATTTAAAAATTGGAATTGTCTCCTTAGCTTAGGCAAAACCATTGTTTCTTTTCTTTCTTTCTCAAAAAAAAAAAAAAAGCAACGATTCAGTTTTGTTAAATATTTTAAAGGGAACATAAGTGATGTTTGCAAGCTTACAGCTCTAACCACAAAAGTTGTATTTGTTGTGGCTGTTTACGTCGCCCTAGAGCTGCACAATGGGCTATTGGTGACGGTCTGGGAAACATCCCTGATGACGATCCGAAGACATGCCATTGCAATTTTGATCCTCACCAGAGGGGATGGCACCACCGCTTCGCTAGCCTGAAAACCTGCATGCGAAGTCGAGTTTTTACGGTAGAACAGTTTAACGAGGACCAATACCGCATACCCTCGATCCAAGTGGTCACCCACCCGCACACTGACCACAGCCAGTGATGCTTGAATTCGGTGATCTGCTGGGAACCGTGTCGTAACGATTCCCAGAACGGAACACAAATGTTATATTGCGCGAACTGAAATACCTATTTATTTTTTAATGGTAATGTCAGGTTATATGAATAATCAACGTGATCGTGGTAGTAGGTGGACTACGTCTTAGGTTCTCTTAATCCACGTGCTTATTTTGCTTATAATTATATTTTTGAAACGTGTTACTATGAAACTAAAAAAAATTGAAATAAATGGTAATTGAAATATAAAAATAAGTTTTGTACTGAAAAGCAAAAGTAAGGCAGAAATCCATCTAAGGATGTATATTAAAAAGCACCAATATTACTATTGACTCCACTGATAAATGATTTCGGTAAGAGTTACTAATTGAAGAGTCTCGCAGTGGACTGGTCGTTAAGACACGATTCCCAGCAGATCAACGAAGTCAAGCATCACTGGCTGTGGTCAGTGTGCAGGTGGGTGACCACTTGGATCAGTCTGCGTAGGGACAGAGGGTGTGCGGTATTGGTTCTCGTTAAACTGTTCTACCGTAAAAACTCGACTTCGCCTGCAGGTTTTCAGGCTACCGAAGCGGTGGTGCCATCCCCTCTGCAGAGGATCAAAATTGTGATGGCTTGTCTTAGGATCATCCTCAGGGATGTTTCCCAGACCGTCGCCACTAGCCCATTGTGCAGCTCTAGTGCGACGTAAATTAACTACTACTACTACTACTAATTGAAGCAAACTAATAATATATGTATTAAAAGGAAAAATTAATGGAGAAATATTACTAATTCGTTTAATAGAGCATAAATGAATAGTTATATTATTATTAATGTACGCACGTGAACCTACGTAACGTAACGCACCTGGCTTCACAGCCAGAAAATTTTACGCACGTTTGTGGAGCTTGGTATGAACAATGAGTGATTACTATTACATCTACTTTTGAATCTAAATTAGTTATAGCGTGATTTGCACAAGCGCAAGAATTGTTTTCTAATCACAACAACAGATGAAAGTACGCAATTAGTGAAAATTTATTGCGGCATTTACAATTAAATTGAGGGTGTGCGGTATTGGTCCTCGTTAAACTGTTCTACCGTAAAGTGCTCGACTTCGCGTGCAGATCGTCGGGCTACCGAGGCAGGGGTGCCATCCCCTCTGCAGAGGATCAAAATTGTGATGGCTTGTCTTCGGATCATCCTCAGGGATGTTTCCTAGACCGTCGCTTCTAGCCCATTGTGCAGCTCTAGTGCGACGTAAATTAACTACTACTACTAGTTGAAGCAAACTAATAATATATGTATTAAAAGGAAAAATTAATGGAGAAATATTACTAATTCGTTTAATAGAGCATAAATGAATAGTTATATTATTATTAATGTACGCACGTGAACCTACGTAACGTAACGCACCTGGCTTCATAGCCAGAAAATTTTACGCACGTTTGTGGAGCTTGGTATGAACAATGAGTGATTACTATTACATCTACTTTTGAATCTAAATTATATATAGCGTGATTTGCACAAGCCCAAGAATTGTTTTCTAATCACAACAACAGATGAAAGCACGCAATTAGTGAAAATTTATTGCGGCATTTACAATTAATTTGAGGATGTGCGGTATTGGTCCTCGTTAAACTGTTCTACCGTAAAGTGCTCGACTTCGCGTGCAGATCGTCGGGCTACCGAGGCAGGGGTGCCATCCCCTCTGCAGAGGATCAAAATTGTGATGGCTTGTCTTCGGATCATCCTCAGGGATGTTTCCTAGACCGTCGCTTCTAGCCCATTGTGCAGCTCTAGTGCGACGTAAATTAACTACTACTACTAGTTGAAGCAAACTAATAATATATGTATTAAAAGGAAAAATTAATGGAGAAATATTACTAATTCGTTTAATAGAGCATAAATGAATAGTTATATTATTATTAATGTACGCACGTGAACCTACGTAACGTAACGCACCTGGCTTCATAGCCAGAAAATTTTACGCACGTTTGTGGAGCTTGGTATGAACAATGAGTGATTACTATTACATCTGCTTTTGAATCTAAATTAGTTAATACCGTCGCCAATAGCCCATTGTGCAGCTCTAGTGCTACGTAAATGAACTACAGCAACTACAATTAAAATGAAAAGCTCTTCTGCATGTCAGAGGAAGTCAAATTCAATGACATGGTACAGGATATTCAGACCTATGTTGCGTTTAGGTTTAAATGTCATATGCCAAATTCAATAACTATATGGTATGTAGCATTGAAGCCATAACATTAAGTCATTGAATTTGGTTCACATTAAGTCATTGAATTTGAATATATGTTCCAATCTCTTGCATCTTTGATGCATGGAGGCCAATGATGTAAAGTCAAGTGCTTTTGCAATAAAATAAAATAAAAAGAAATTGGTTCACGGTACTTAGACCTTAGCATTACGTAGGTCTTATCCAGTAAAAATTTATTAATTTATCACTAATTCGTATGTTTTTCTTTCAGGAAGTATGGAGGATAGAGAATTTTCCTTTCATGGCTTGCGTTGTGAATGATGGGTGTCTTATCATGAGCCCACATAATATAATGCACATGGTCTTATAGCCAGAAAAGACAACGCACGCTTGTTTAACTTGGTATGAACAATGAGTGATTGCTATTACATTCACTTTTTAATCTAAATTGCTGGTAGAGTAATTCACGCATGCGTAAAAATTGTTTTCTGATCAACACAAGGGATGAAAGTATGCAATTAGTGAAGATTTATTGCGGCATTTAAAATTAAATTGAAAAGCTTTTCTGTATATCAAAGGCAGTCAAATTCAATGTTTCAAAGGCATGGTACTAGACATTTAGGCTTATGGACCTAATGCATGACTATATGGTGAGGCTTCAATACCATACCATATAGTCATTGAATTTGGTACTTGACATTTAGACTTACGAATTCCGTAGGTCTAGCCCAGTAAAAACTTATTAATATAAGCGAGCATCAATACCATACCATATAGTCATTGAATTTGGTACTTGACATTTTGACTTATGAATTCCGTAGGTCTAGCCCAGTAAAAACTTACTAATTTATCACAAATCCTTCTCTTTTCCACTTTTTTCTTCTGCATAGATCACTACTTCCATTCCATGAACTCATTAAGTTCGGTTTTATATTTTACTTTGACTATTTTTAATGAAACCCTGCACAGACTATTTTTTGTTTCTTATTAGGTAAAATTCGCAAAATAGTTGGTTGCAAAAGTGAATAAGGTGATCTATAATGAGAGCCCTTAATGTGTATTTAATCTTTGTAAGAAATGAAGTAAAGAGTGAGAAATACAAGAGGAAAATGCAAAGCAAAACTTACACAAAAATACAAACACAAAAAATCTCAAATTTGAATCTTTTGTTGCTTACGCTGTTTTTTTTTTTTTTCATTCATTCTATTTTATTTTTAATTCATTTATAAAATTATTTTTTTGCACATCAACCCCCACGTTTAATAAGCGATCATTTTTGTTTTGAAAGATAAACTAATAGTTACATCAAAACTAAACATTATGCAATTAAAAGATTTCAAATTTTTTCATTAATGTTAGTCATAATGTAGTAAAAGTTTCTGCTTAAGATTTTACAACGCGTTTCATTAATTTTTTCGACCACTTCCACTTATTTTTTTCTAATGTTGATGTCTTAAATACAGTATTATTACAACATATAGATCTACAGAAGAAAACAAAAGGCATAACTCTTTATCCTAATGATCGGATTTTCACGTTCTAGGACTCAATCTTAATGACTTGAGGGGATGACCTGAAATATGCTAATTAATGAGTGCAAACGATATTTTATGTTACAAAATCAGGCAAAAAAACATATTTTCTCTGAATGAACGTAACTTTTTTTCTTGTTGACAGATTTTGATTTCTGATCTCCAAAATATAGGGGGTAGCCGCAATCTGGGGAATATAATCCCAATAGTTAGGTCAAATGAGTGTGCCAAAGTTTTACTTTCTGCCAATTTCTTTATATCTTGAGAACTTTTTATGCAAATTGAAACCTTTTTGCACACAATCATAAAGTTCATTTATCCAAAGATAATTCTATGTAAAAAATAACTTTTAACAAGTATTTGTTATTTTTTTTATTATTTTATTCAAGATACGGTTTTTGAATTGTACGGTATACAATTTTATCCTCGTTTATAAGAATGTAATTTTATGTGACAAAATGCAAAGCCAAATCGGTCAAATAGTTCCTGAGAAATCGAATTTTAAGTATCTCACTTTTTTTTTTGAAATTCAATTTCTCGAAAACTATTTGACCGATTTGGCTCATATTTTTTTATTTTCGGCATATAAAATTCCTTTCTTTAAATTGAAATAAAAAATTGTATACCTTACAATAAAAAATGTTTTTGATCATTCTAAATAATATTTAAAAAAATTTTTTATACTAAATGCTATTTTCTGCATGGAATTATCTTTGGATAAACTAATTTCATAATTGTGTACAAAAATATTTCACGGCTACCTCCTATATTTTGAAGGTGAGAAATCCGAATCACTCGAAAGAAAGGTATGTTTTTTCGGAGAAAATACGTTTTTGTGTCTGATTTCGTTACCGAAAATATCGTCTGTACTGCACTTTCTTCACTTCTTTTTGTTTAACGTTTAACTCTATGAGAGGCAGGACATTTTATTTAAGAAAAAAAAAATAAAACACCAGAACTGTAGAAATTATTTTAGATTGGCTCTATCTAGTAAAACTATTTATAACGTTAAATAAATTTTACATTGTTTCCTCAAAATACGAGTTTGGCCTTGAAAACCACGGCCCCTCAAAAAGTTAAGAGAAACTTGGAACGGATTAGAGATCAGTGTGTCCTCCATGGTCATTGATGGTCAAGGTCACCCCTCAGATTCTAATGACAAAGCATTCAGTCATTCTTCTCTCAGATTCTTTGAAAATAGAGACAAAAACCGAAATTCCTCTCTTTCGCCCTGACCCTCTGCGCAGAACGTAGATGGTCTTATTATATTCTGCGCACACAGCTGGCCTGGTATCCCCATCTATTGCCTCCCCTTCCCCTTCTTCCCCATCACGTTTTCCCATTGCATAGCGTTGGCTAGACATTTTGTTTATGTCGAAAATATATAATAAGTATTGATCTTTAAAAATTTCATCGGTACAGAATTAATAATTGAAAATAATGATATAATTGATTACTGGATCTGTCAATAAATTGGGATATTTTTTCTTAACGGTCGGTAAAAGGTAACGTAAACAAATATGTCGTCTTCATCGACTAAAGATGACAACAAAACTCTGTCTGAGTCTACCAAAATAGTAAGTAAATACTCGTAATAATAATAAATATGTTATTCTAAATTGTTAAATTCTTTCTTTTTTTAATTTTTTTGTGATATATTATAAATGTGACACGTTTGATTAATTTCTTTGGCCAAGCGATCGAGTTTCGTATGCTAAGTACATTGTTCGAATCACACGAAAAATATTTCGTTAGATAATATTTCACTTTCTGTGTAAAATAGATTTTTTTTTTTATCTAATGTTTATTAGTTTTTCATTTTTATTATTTATTCTTGACTTATCTGTTCATATTATGTTTGAACCTCTCGAAAATATTTCGTTAAATAATGTTTCATTTTAAATGAATTTTTTTTTTTTAAATATTAGTTCTTCATTGTTATTATTTATTTCTGATTAGTCAATGCATAATAAGCTCGAAACACTCGAAAATTGTTTCGTTAACTGCTTCTTTCGTGTGAAAAAAAGTTTTTTGTTTTCATTGTTTATTATTGTTATTATTTATTTCTGTTTTGTCAGTGTATAATAAGCTCGAAATACTCGAAAATTGTTTCGTTAACTTTTTCTTTCGTGAGAAAAAAAACTTTTTTTTTCATTGTTTATTATTGTTGTTATTTATTTCTGATTAGTCAGTGCATAATAAGCTCGAACCACTCGAAAATTGTTTCGTTAACAGTTTCTTTTGTGTGAAAAAATTTTCTTTCTCGTTGTTTATTATTATTATTATTCATTTCTGATGAATCAGTGTATAGCAAGCTCGAACCACTCGAAAATTGTTTCGTTAACTGCTTCTTTCCCGTGAAAAATTTTTCTTTTTCATTGTTTATTATTATTATTTACTTCTGATTAGTCAGTGCATAATAAGCTCAAACCACTCGAAAATTGGTTCGTTAACTGTTTCTTTCGTGTGAAAAATTTTTTTTTTCATTGTTTATTATTGTTATTGTTTATTTCTGATTAGTCAGTGCATAATAAGCTCGAAACACTCGAAAATTGTTTCGTTAACTGTTTCATTCGAGTGAAAAAAAATTTTTTTTCATTGTTTATTATTTATATTTATTTCTGATCAATTTGTGTATATTAAGTTTAAACTGCTCGAAAATTATTTCGCTAACTCTCTTGTCTTTTTTTTTTCTTTCTTATTTTATTTCATAATTTTTCTGTTTTTATTAGTCAATTTTGATTAAACTGAGCTCGAATCACTTAATCACTCAAAATATATTTCATTAAATATATTTCCATTTATGTGTAAATTTCATTTTTTTATTTATTAATTATTTTATTTTTATTATTTATTTTTGACTTCTCTGTTTATATTAAGTTTGAACCACTGAAAAAATATTTCAGTAAATAAAGTTTCATTTTTTGTGTAAAATTGCTTTTCTTTTATATTATTTCGTAACTGTTATTATTTATTTCTAATTAATCCGTACAGAATGAGCTCTAACCACTCGAAAATTATTTCGTCGATTAATTTTTCTTTTGCTTGGAAAGTTATTATTATTATTTTTTAAATTTTGTTTCATAATTTTTTTTATTGTTATTCATTATTTCGAATAATCTGGGCATCTTAATTTCTAATCACTTGAACTTCGTTAACTAATGTTTCGTTAGGGTATAAAATTGCTTTGTTTATTTTAATTTTATTTTTACTTGTTATTATTTATTTCTGATCAATTTGTGCATCTAAAGACTCGACGTTTTGAAAAATATTTTGTTAAGCATTTAATTTTTGGCGAAATTTTTTTCCTCTTTTTATTATAATTAATTTACGAATTAATTTGTACATTTCAAGTTCAGACTCTTCAAAAATATTTCATTTAACGATGTTTCATTTTGTGTGCAAAGTTGTTTTCTTCCTTTTTTTAATTATAATTATTACTTTCTCGAATCAAATTTAGTGTTTGTTTTTCTTTAATGTTGGAAAAGGCTCTCAGAAAATATTTCCTTCAATTTTTCATTTTGTATGTAAAATTACTTCATTATTTCTAAAAAAATTTTAGCGCAGTTTTCAAGTTAGCAACTCTTGAAAAATATTTCGTTTAAAAATATCTCATTCTGTGTAAATTTTTTTTCAAAAATTTGAAATCTAGAAAAATTGTTTGAGGGGTCAATGTGGAGAGGTCAACAATGTTTCATGCTGTGTGTAATATACATATTTCCCTCATTAATTCAAACAACTTTTTAGTTTCACAATATTTTTAGGTTTTATTTCGATATAGCTGATTGAGTAATTACATAATATGGATTGAATAATAACAGTGTGTTCCCCTGCAAAGTTTATAATGCAAAGTTTTATAATGTAAACCTTGGCCACCAGAATTAAGTTATTATTGTTTGTCAAGATGTAAACAATATTTATGGATGCTAAGTTCAAGAATCATTTCAAATTTCATTGTATATATATGATTAACAGATTAAGAACATCATGAAATATCGTAAAAATTACTAAGTAGGGAAAATTTGTTAAAGAATTTTAAATTAAAAAAAATATGTTAACTAAGTACTGATTAAAGTAAGTTTATATTGAGTGGTTAAATCGTATTTTAATATTTTTGTATAAAAGCTTGAAAATTAGAAAAATAACTTTTGGTCTAATAATCTGATTTAAATGTGGTAATAAGCAATCGTAATGTTTTGAGAAACCTTTAACATGCTAGTTGATCTTTGCAGACAATATCTTAAGTTACTTAATTAATTTGCTTTTTTTCCTTAAGCACTGTACATATATTTATATGGTGTTAGTGCTTTAAAAATGTACTTTTATCATTTTTGAAGCTTATTACAACTGATTGGGATATTTCTGAAAAATTCTTTTAAGCAAGAATGTAGCAGAATTTACATAGCCAGTCTGTATCGCTGTCATTCCTGAATTTAAATTTGTTTTCAAACCGAACACAGTAATACAAAGATTGTTATTTTTATTTTATAACCGTCCTTGAAAGGCTGACACAATTTCGGGTTTACGACTACCAATGTTCAACTCCGGAGCCTTGTAATTTTAAACCTAATCCAGAAGACAAAGGAACTCCTGAATCAAGAGAAATTTGTCTTCGTGGAGGACTTTTTGATGGAACTAACCCGCATTTGCGTTGCATGGAGAGGAAAACCGCAAAAACCAACCACGGTTAGCCTGATAGTGAATGATCGTTACACATTAGTTTTAAGTGTCATTTTCAGTTAGTCGTTCGGAGCGATTTCATAGGCTCCCCAGTTATAAAAACTCCGTACTTCAAAATCAGTCCATTCATTAAAATCAGAAGAATTTCAACTATTACGTATCAAAATTTCACCTAAATAGTCTGGGACACGACTCCCATATAAATATATGTACCGGGTCCATTATAAAAAAATTTATGGATTTTGAAATGATCTAATGATTGAAGTTACTATAAGATGAAATAAGTTGATAAGGGAAATAAGTTACTATAAGAGTCTATAAACTATCAATTCGAGCTTTCAAAAATAAGGAATTTAATTCTTAAATATTTCTTGTCTTTCAAATTCTTTACTTTTCAAAATGCATGTGCCAGAACTTTGATTCCACTCCCACGTACATGAATGACCTCTGGCCTTAAGGTCAGGGGGTGAGGAGCACAGAAAGAGTGGTTCCCCTATTGTTGGGGATGTAGTTCCAAAAGTAAAGATCCAGACTCCAAGTTAAAAATATAGAGAAGACATGGAAAATAATATAATAAAGATAAAGACGATGGGAAATAAATTATTAAAAAAATTTTTTTTTAAAAATATAAAAATTGTTTTTTTATTTAAAAAAATTAAAGCGCCGGTAAACAGAATAATGAAAATATATAATCTTGTCATTAACTCACACGATTATATCCGCAAAACAGAGTGCTTTCTAATATTGTGCTAATAGCAAAGTATCTCAATACATTAGTGTTAGGTACCCAAAAAATGTAACCGAAATAGAACCTATTAAGTAAAAAATATACGAAATAAAACATACTAAGCAATAAATAGAAAATAAAATTCGAGAAAATGCAGAATCTATATATATATTTCTCTTACACGGCACCAAAAAAAAAGCCTCATTACAACTCCCCGAATGGCAACATTAGAAAATCGACCAATGATTGCTACTAAAAATGTCACATGGCAAATGTCACATGAGGTGGCTCAACATATAGCGCTTTTAAAAACGGAAACAATAACCAGAGTGAGCATTATCAGGTTGTTCAATTTAGATTCATGCCTAAAAATATGATAATATTTAATTTTAACTCAATTACAAATTAATTAGGCTGGCCTTCTTCATGACTATAAATAAGTCACAAGGTCAGACTTTTGAGAAAATCAGTTTAGTATTGACTAAACAAGTTTTTAGTCATGGACAACTTTATGTTGGCCTGTCAAGAGTTAAGTCATTTGACAGCCTTTCAGTAATTGCTCCAAGATGCCAAATCTATAATTGTGTTTTCAAAGAAATTCTAAATGCTTAGTGTTAATTTCTTAGAGCTTTGCAGAAAAAAA